TTCTGTTTCAAATTCTTACACAGGTCTAGACAAAAGCCTTCTGTATTTTTGATACTATCTCTTTGATAACTTTGCCTGCCTTTGAAAGACTTTGGATTAATATTTCAGAAAAGCAGGTTCCTCCTCTATTTGAATTTCATTTGGAATCAGAAATTTACGGGCTTTTTCTATCTAATAGAATCTGAATCACACCTCTCAAATTCAGATAAATTGGTGCATGTGATGCCAATCCATACCATATAGCATTTATAAAAGATGCAGTTCTCTCTTCTATGTTCTATTTTTATTTTCTTTATGAATTGAGATGACAAATGCCATCATTTAGCAATCAACTCAAAATGTAGTTCAAAAAAACTAAACAGAAATAAAAATCAAATAGGAATACCTAGGACACTAAAATAAAAGTTAGGAGTTTTATTATTGTATTACTTTGTGTTGTCCTCTAGAGTAATCTTCCATGCCCAAAAAAAAACCCAAATCACAAACAAAATAAATAAACAAAAAACCCACACATATAAAAAGCAAAAACATTCAGCTTTTTTCTTTTTTTTTTTTTTTTGAAATACAACATACCCTGGAACTCAGTTATCTTACCATAACTTCCTTTAACTACTGACAAACTAACATAATTATAAATCTATCAAGATTTAATGCTCAGAGTTTGGATTGTACTTTTTGAAGTATATACTTTATAAAGGTTATAAAGCCATTAACCTCTATAAATTCTTTAGAAGAGGTTACATAAAACCACTGGGATGAACTGCCACACTAGACCAGTAATAATGACATGAACACAGGTGATTTGAGGAACAGTTTTTCTCAGAAAGTTGCAGGCCTTTAATTGACAGGTGTATAGCTGACTTGTGTTCCCTGTAAACTATCTACTGCAGAGAATCCAAAAGGTAGGAAAATCTGTTTTTAAAGATAAAAAATATATATTTGGCAATAATTGAATTAACTGTTTAAAATAATTTTCCACCATTAGCAATAATGTATGCTATTTTACTGTACATAAATACAAGCTCCTTAGACCTAAAAGGCGAGAACCACATTTTCAAGTGTACACAGAAATTGTTCTATACTTATATCCAGTGAGAGGGATTTAAAATGTCTCTTTTTGTTGTCAGCACCTTTTCAGTAATTTTTAGGCCCTTGTCCAAAGACTGCAGCAATTTAAAAAAGAAAAAAAAAGCATTATTAAATTGAGCACAAATACCTAAGGTTCAAATCTATTTTCAGGTTAGCTACACATCAACCAGGAGACCTAAAAAAACCAAACGCTTATTGACTTCTGCTATCGACCACTTCTCAAACCAAGACTCAAGTAGGCTTCTCAGTCTGAAAAAAAGGCACTTGAGGGAAAATACAGCAGAGGTCTTAAGCAGCCAGAATTGAGCGGGGATTGATTTTCATTTTCTCTTCAAGTACAAGCACTGTGAAGGATGAAGCACAGCTGGCATGCTCCAGATTCAATGCAAAGAAAAACAAAACAAAAACAAAACAAACAAAAAAAAGTGGGAGGGCAGTTCTTCCCAAAAGGGTAGTTCTTCACAAAATAAATAGTTTATCTGACAAAGCTAAAACAAGTAATAAAAGTTTCAAGGGGTGTCAGAGAAGGCCCATTGATTTTCATAGAAGAGAACTACACTGAAGCTCACAAAATGCACTGCAAATACATCCATTTCAAGAAGTCCTTAAGCTGCAAATGGTGGGAAATTAATACAGTATAGGTAATTCTCATATGCTACTCTTACAGTCCTCCCCAAAGATCTGCTTTTTACCACTATCAGAGGTATGATATTAAACTCACTGAAGTTTTTACTTCATCCCATACCTGTTTAAAAGGTGACTTAAAGATGCTGGGATCTCTTATTTCTTCTGGGGAACAACATTAAACCCAAAGTAGCAGGAAATAAAAGAGATTAAGGACCACAAAAGAGCTTCTAACAATTTAAATAGAAGGAAGACTGGGAATGTTCAGTAGCACTAAGTAAGAGCTCCCTGTGACTGCTAAAACAACAGAAAAAAAACCCAGTCCAAATCGCATACCACTTATTTTCAACATTCAATTACAATAGCTATCCACCTTCAAAACACAGAGCATTTCTCTTACCTTAAATAAACATTTTAATAAAATCAGAAGAAGAATTGCTTGATCCATAGAGAAAGAAATGTTATAAGTCCCAGTGTCCTGAAGTGCATGAATCGCCACAGCTTCAAAGCAAAATCATGTTAGGATATCTAAGACATAAGGGAAAAATGGATACACATATTTATACTTCACATGGATGCAGCACCAGCCAATGGTGGGCCAGAGATTTGTGTGTTTCATCTGGCCCTGCCTTTTCCCAAGCCTCATATCAAGTTTCCTGAGATCAAAAGGCCTTCCTTTAACTTCACTGAACTGTGGATGTGACTGCTGTTTGTAGTCATTTAAAAACCACTCAGTGTAAAAAATGTCAGGCTTTTTTTCAGTTTTTATGTGATTACCAGATCAAAATTCATTAAAATCAGCGAAACCCCTTACTTACTTTTCTCCAGACTCTGATTGTTTTCTACAGTACACATTTCTAGGTAGTTGTCCCTTTGTCAGTGTTTAAAATAAGTCTTAAAACACTTTTCCATGGAAGCACTAAGCACAGCTGCAGAGCCCATTGACACATATTATGATCTTACAGAGGTCCCACAAAAAGTTACCAACAAAAAAATCTATAAACAAAGAATAGACAAAAATGAATAGTAGTAGGACCACTGATCTATTTTACTGATCTATTCAGGTTCCTGAACAAGAACTCAGCTCAGAAAAATATATTGGGTGACATCCACCTTTGGCCAGATGTGAAGCAGCAATTTCAGTTAAACTTACCTCAGTGTCATTCCCAGTGCCCTAATCCTCCCCAAAATTAACCTTTTTAATAGAAAATTGGCTGGTTTTGCACTGTGTTCTTTGAAATTAAATTAGTTTAATAAGATTATAAAAATTGTTAACTAATTATAGAATAAATAAAAATCAGTACCACTGGATATATGTATCATAAAAATGAGCAATACTCATTATTTACTGTGTATTTTCCTAGGTGTTATCATCACATCATATTTCTGTGTTGAGGTAGTATCTTGTTTTTCAGTGTTCCTGATTTTTACTAAAACTGTATCCAACTGAACTGTGAATTGTCAAACAAGGAATACAATTTTTAACTAAAGCTTTATTTAGAACTTGTAGTAAACAAGGCAGGCTTACTCTCACCAGAAAAATACCATTTTGGAGCTTTTGTGTTACCCAGGCTCAAGGACACACACAGCAAATGAAAAGCTGCTGCAATGAAACCCCTGATCTCAAAACACTGAGTCAATCTCCCTCTCTGAGAAGCACACACATACAGAGCACTCACAGTGTAATCACCTGAGTGCTATTTTAGCTATCAATGACAAGAGTAAGCTGCTGCCTATTCAGCTGTTTTGCAAAGCAGACATACTCAATTTTTTTTCCCAGAGAAATCTGTAGTCATTGAGCACAAAGGGAGGTTTTATTAACAAAGCAATTTTCAAGACACCAGCAGAAGCCCTCTCTGCATTAACCTCATCAAATTAAGTGAGAATGCACATTCCACCTTAATCAAAAGAACACTCCCCAAAACACAACCAGTTCCCTTTTATTCAGCATTTCCAGTGATTAAGTTTTAGCATCATCCACTATTGCTTTTCTCCAGAATGCAACATCAGTACAGAAGCAGCTCTTCAAGTTCCCTCATACAAAAACTAGTTGTGAAAGTAGAAACTACATGTATAAGACATTTATTCAGACTACCTCCTTGCAGTAAGATTCTCAAATCTTGGATCTTAGGGAATATTTTATCACTGACTTCAATAGTTATATGACCATCTATTTGGTGTATGTGTAGGATTATTTTTCCGAATAGGCAAAAATTACAGTTCTTAAATGATCAGTATGTGGCTTGTAAGATCTGGTCAATGTATCATATTTTCAATCACTTACAGTCCATTGTCCTTCAGCTCTGAATATATCTTTCCACCCTAAGCTGTGATGACCTTTTAATGATAATGGATAGACAATTTTTGAAGTTTCCTTGTTCTATAGGTAGCTTGCACATTCCACTTGGCACTTAAAGAAAGGTTAAAGAAAATTTAGTACACAATATTATGTACAGACCCTCTCAACCATAACCTTTTCTCAATAAAAACATTTTTTTCTTTTGCATTAATGTTAAGTGCTGAAGTCTATCCTTCAGAAGATTTTTTATGTTCATGTTGTGAATGTGTTGTGAATGTTTTTTGAAAATATATTCCCCAGCATCACCTCAAGGTAATATCTGGTAAAGGATTTGATGGGACAGAACTCAAAAAAATCAGTTCAAGCTAATGTTTTTCATTGCCACAGTATTCTTAAGTGGTACCTTCATGTTTATTTGGCAGCAAGTTTTCACACAAAGTCTCTGAAATAATTGGAAATTCAATTTTTCCTTTGAATTCTTATAAAAGGAGAGATGGAAGAAAAAGAGATGAGATGACAAGAGCTATATAGAACCAATGAATAATAATAATTAAAAAAAAAAATATCCAGGCTATGGATCAGCAGTGCAGAAGGTCAAGAGAAAAAAGTGTCAGGAAAAATGGTGAAGAAAGAGAGAAAGGAGAAGAAGGGGGAAAGAAGCCACATCTGAAATGGTGCTTTGTCACCGCTTAAGCACTGTGAACAGCACAGTGACCATTGACCATTTTTAACCCCAGAGTGTGTTTCTGTAATACCTCTGCCTTTCAGTATATTATGTGGCTTGTAACTATGTTCAGATATGAAACTTCAGGCCTGATCCTGCCTGGAAATATCACCAATGCACAGGTTCATATATTTGGGAAGAGCTTTGCATGCAACGTGGAAGTAAATCAAGTAAATGTATTACGTTTTACTTCTTATATTTAGTATACAGATTTGGCTAGCTAAAAAAGGAGAATATTAGGAGCCTATAAAGTTATACTCTCAGATTTTATTAATGAAAATACACAATATGTGGCTTAAACCTAAATTTAAAAGCTTTGCTTCAAATTCTATTTGCATATTAGGGCAAGAGTTGGTCTTAACAAATGGGCTGGTAATAAGGCAGTGAAATTACAGCAGTCAAATATAAATAATATGGGCAAAGACTTACCATTTTACAGAGGCATATTCAGGTACAATCTGATTTTAAGTATAGACATATATTTATGTAAATCCCTAAAATATCTGCATAGTTTATGCATAAGCCTTTATATTGTAGAACTTCTGCAAGCACAGGTAGAAGAAAGCAGTGGCAATGTAGGAATGAAGGGCTTGTGGAAGCAGCTACAAATGGGAGAAATGACAAGGCATGGCAGGACTGCAGCAGGACTGCACTCCATCACACACACTTCTCCCCTGCTCCTCTCATTTTTCAGTGACAGTGTGGGAGCTTCAGAAGGATGCACTCCCAGCCTTTCTCTTAGAAGAGCAGAAATTATTGGAGTCTTAGTTCCAGAGAGAGTAGGAGGGAGGGAATTCTGTGTTCATTAAAGCTCTTTTAGTCAATAACAAACAGACATTAATTTTCATATTTAACTAAGATTCAAGTTGGCTCAGCTTTCCAAAGCAGCTCACAAGACACCTGTGCATACAGGGTTACAATTTAAGGCAGGAATGCAGAGTTGAAGAGAGATGAGAAAACCAAAACAGAAGAACAAACTGTATCTGTGTCTGTGTTTATATTTAACTTGCAGAAAGAGGAAACATTTGGAGCAGAACAGTCCTGCCACACTGCAGGCTCATTCAAACCTTCTATCAGTTGCAAGGCCTGCAAAGGTTAGTTCACGAGTATATAAAATTTGTGCCAATGTCATCTTCATGGAGGTAACAGTGGTGGGTTGGCTGTCTAGGAAATGGTTCATGGCTTTCAATAGGTGTTCACTTTCTGACCAGGCCAAAGCAGCCCAAGTCTGAAGTTTAATTGTAAAATGAAAGGCAACGTTAGAGCATCCTATCCAGCTGCACTGAAGATGTATGATTTTGCTGTAGGCTTCAGTCCCTACTGATCATTGCATTTTAAAAAACAAAATTAGGTAAGTGGGAAAAAAATATTCTAATACCATTTTAATATCATTACAGGTTGTCACGAAGTTAATTTTAAACATAACTGCTTTTTTAATTTCCAGTTTTGCCTGAGATTTTGCATTAGCATTCACTTTTAGTGGCAAAGGTAAATTATTGCATCAGCACTGATTTATTATCACTCTGCAAAATAATGCTTGTTAAATTCTTTTTAATTACAAATACAGTTCTAAAACTTAGAAAAGCACATGGCTTATAAAAAGTACAACTGTTCAATCAAAACACATAAAGTGTTCAGTGATTATATAGCAAGAAATGCTGTATTGCAAGAGATTCCTTTTTATCAAATGCTAAATTCATTAAGAAGTTTTGGGCCAAACCCTCTTAATGCAAATATAGGATTCCTATCTCTATGTTAAAAAATCAAAAGGCTCTAAGGATATATTTTTCTATTAAAAGTTGTCCTTTTAATTTTCTCTACAAGTAAATAAACTATGGCTATGACTATGATTTAAATTCTGTTTCTCGCCCACATGAAAAGTTTCTGTACACAAATTCTTGCGGCAGTATTGGGGAACATTTTGGTTCTAGGCCCTGGTATCTAATACAACTTGAAATATCTGCCATATAAATCATAAAAATGTGCAAATGAAGCATATGTTTTCTCAAAGCGTCACTTTATTTTGATCACTGAGTTTATCGTTATTTCTTTATAGTGGCTAAATATTTTACTGATAATACAATGGATTCTTCCTTAATTTTTAAACCAAGTCGCTATTTTTAAGGATATGGATGAGTAGATGAGTCTCGTTAGTAAAGACAGATTTCCCTAGATAAGCTATTTTTCTTTATAAACCATCAAACTGAATATAACAAAAATTTAAAGATTTGTCACACAAAGTAGCAAAATAGCCTCGGGTTTTAAAGGGGTTTTCAAATTTTATACTACTTATTTTTCATTGCAATAACCCCTGCGATAATCCAAGCTTTTTGTAAGTAAATGATAATAGCTTGAATTTATAACTGTTTGTCAAAAGGTTTCAGACTTTTAGACAAGAATTTTAATTCTGAATCAATTTTGATTATAAGGAAAATACTATTCATACTTTAAACCATTTTAATTCAGTGAGTTTATAAAGCAAAGTAATCTCATAAAAACAAACTCAAAATTGTATCCTTAATTTTTAAGAGAAGGTTATATAATATGTTTAATAAAGGGGAGATTACATTCAGCCTAAGGTGCTGAATCATGGACATTCACAGCTTGATTGAGCATGAATAACTCACCTAAGCCCTTCAAAACATTTATTTTACCTGATTTTTTTTTTCCTGGACTCAAAAATTGTGAACTGTAAATTCAGTAAATAGTCCAAATCTCAGTATTTTTTTTTAAAAATGCATTTTATAAAAATATACTGAACACAAATCTTCAGACTGGAAACCTATTATGACTAGTTACAATGTTCTGGGTTTTTTTAATAAATATATATACATATAATCTTACTCTATAGCTAGTAGAGAGCCAATTTCTTTTCTGTGAAAAATGGAAATAAAATAGAATTTTTCATACCATAAACAGCTTTAGATATTTTTAATAAAGGCACAAAATCTTAAAATCTTCAGCCTTTGCCTGGTCATGCTTCATATTTATAATATACATAAAAATTAAATATATGTCTAAGGTTTAAAGGTATTATTACGATTCTGCTGTGTACTCTGAAGATTTCCTGCAAGTACTTACAGATCATAGTCGTGTTGTTTCTCAGTGACTTACAGTGTAATCAGAGTACAATCATTGATTACAGATTAGTGGACAAAAGATAGATTTTTAAGCAAGAAAAAATGTGTTGCAGTTGAACTCACTGTTTTTTAAATAAATTAATTCAGTCATTCTCAAAGCTCTAATATGTTCTTTACCCTTTAAACATGGGACCAGTGATAGTTTTCAACTGGAGGTCTCTAAATAAATGAACCATTGAGAAATTCTCAACTTTGATAGGTAGCCATGATCCAAAATTTTAAAACATTGGAAGCACAGACATTAAACCAGCTTTCAACAGCTCATCAGAAAGCCACTAAGTAGAAATAAATGATGGTTACACCTTGTCCAAAAGGATTTATGTTTTTCTTTCTATACATGCCAATATTTTAAAAGACAATTTGAAGAATAACAAACAACATTTTTGCTAAATCTGCAAAAAGTTACATTATAAAGCACAACCGAGGACTTTTTTATATCCCTGCAGAGTACTACAACCATCCATGGTCAAAAAGTCATGTCTGGTGAAAGGAAACTCATTTTATTTCTTCAGTTAAAATTGTATCCACAGCGATGTTCAGTTCCATTGGCAGGAGCAGTCTATAGGCTCCTGAAGGACGTACATAATTTCAGTGCCATTTCCTGAGCAGCGCAGTGGCACAGTCAGATTACGTGTTCCAATTTCTCGACAACATTTACAGAATCTTAAATGGCTATCAATATTGACATTGAAAATTGTTGCGGACGGGCATTTTCCATCACAAGAAGCCACGTTTATCTATGAGTAAAATAAGAACTGAAATTAGACATCTTAAATTTTGTTGCAAAAATATTACATTTCAAACTTCTTTGTGATTAAAACCCAGTTTTACATTTGAGAAGGACCGTTGTCTTAAAAATTGTTTTAACTTCTAAAATTCATTCATTCTAAGTTTAGCCACATTTAAAATATTTTTTTATTAACCTTTTCTTTATTGTTTAATCATGTGTTTTGTCTCAAGCTTGAGCAAACTGGGTACCAAAATCAAATCCTCAGTTTAAAAATTAGTAACTTCTAAACAGCACAGCTGAATCCATGTCCTTTCCATGTTCACTGATGAAAAGTTAAATTCTTCTAAGCAAAATGAAGGGAATTCTATCTTTCTTCTTGAAGGTTCAAGAGGAAAAGCATAGCAATGGAAAAGCTTTCCCCTTTCTTGCTCATATTACTTGTGACTAAGGGCTGTCACTCTAAGAAATATATCTAAAAAGTAGATGCAGTAACAAACCAGCAAGGGCACAGACTGGTTAAAAAATTATATGTGCTCTAGACTGAAGTCGCTTTCTCTCACTACTACATTATTTGAGGAATTTTCTTATCTGATAATCTGACAGAAAAAAATTGTAATTTTTAATTAAAACAAGCAGTGTTAATAGCTGGGAAGTCGAGAACGGTTATACTAGATCTAGTTCTTTATGTGATAGTTTTAGATCTGATTTCTTATGCAGGCAAGACATATGAAAAGTATTTTGATCCACTCCCTTCCAAACAGCCTGTGATGAAATGTGCCATATCCACACAAATTAGTCAAAAAAGTTACTCTGACATCTTTTAAATTTCCTGAAATTTAACAGGGGGTAAAAAAAGACTTTGTCCTAAGCACTAATAATCTCAGTTATTAATTAAAGAAACGTAATCATACTCTGCTCTTTCCAAAGGTTGACAGTATTAATCTGGCTAAAGAACATGTATGTAGTTCCAAAGCAGTCACAGCAGATACCACCATCCGATAGACCAAAATCACACAATTGAAAAAGGGTGCCAGTAGGGGAGCTGGCGAGGAAAGGAATTGGAGCTAAGGGTATGAGTTGGAATTCTGAGGACATGAAAATCCAGAGGTGATGGGTAAGGGAATCGACTGTGCAAAAGCTGTGCAGCCATCAAGGAAATCAGGAGTAAGAAGGTCCTGGGAGAAGGGGGTTGTAATACAAATAGAGGTGGAATGGTGGTGGGTCTTTTTCAAAGATGGGTAGAGAGGGAAGGAAATATGATCTACAATAGAAAGTCATAAAAAGGAAGGCTTCGTTTGTTCTGTCATTCAAGACATGACCTGGCCAACATTCTTGTTGCTCCTCTCTGAATGCTGTAATTCTCCAGCAGTGCAGAAGCTCCACAGCTCCACAGAGCACTCTCATTAGTACTGCAGAACTAAATCATAAGAGACTCTATAATGCATTTGTTTTCACTGCCTATCCATTTTCCTAAATGTTGTAGCTCTTAGTTAGCTTTTCTGTCAGCACAAAAGAAGATATTTTCACATAAGTGGATGACAGGGTAAGGATCTTTTCAACTAGCTTAAAAAAACTATGAGGTTTGACAAAATCTTTCCTTTTAATATTCTTTATTTAGTCAATGGCATGTCTTTATTTTGTAATATTGGTGTCCCTTAACCTAAATTGTACTACAGTTACTAAAGTAACTGTGAAGCTCTTCAGCATCTTCTCTTAACTGGAAAATTACTGTAATTCCATCTATATATTTATACTCCAAATATATATATACTTGCCAAATGGCACTGTTGAACTTCAATCAGTATGCCTTTTAATATGTAATGATATTTTGCCTCTTCCCTAATTACTGTCTATGTTCTTCAACAGAATCTTACCAGAGGCCTTTTGGAAGTCTTGAGATACTTTGTCAAATGCTTCTCTTTTAAGTGCTACATGAGAAATACATTTGCTACTCAGAAATATCCAGGGTTTTGTAGTTGGGGCTACACCAAAGGTGAGAAATAAGATGTCTTAAGCAGACACATAAATAAATGGGATCATGAATTTATGACATGGAGACCCATGCTATGTGCAGGAGAAGACACACAGAGTGTAAAGGTCTTCAAAGGTGCATGGAGCACTGTTTCCATCACATTCTAAGTTGAAACATTTCTAGTTCTCTTTTTGAGTGGGATGGTTTTTTGTGCTGAAAAGTTCAGTGCTTTCATTAGTTACAAGCAATTACAGTGTGTATTTTTCATTTGAAGCCAGATGTTTTTTCAGTAGGAGGGCTCAGTGTTTCAGTCGTAGGAATAGCTAATTTTACTGCATTTATGAGTAGGATAACATTCCTAGGGTGAAAGGTCTGCTTTTGAGGAGACAGCAGCATTTTCTGTTGCTTGTTATTCATTATAACCAAGTTCTTCGTACTTAATTTGGCATGCCACAGGCTCTTTTATGCTTACCGGGCTTTGACTTATACAGTCATTTTTTCTTATGGTTGTTCTGATTGTCATTTTCTGGCAAATTCTTTCTTCCTTTTTGCCTGATAAAATACAGAAAATGCATACTGAATCAATACACCTTTTGTACTGCATTTCCTACTAAAAAAAGTGAAACTATTAACATAATTTAAATAATTATACTTTGTTTTCCTTAATGTACACACAGAAACTATTACTCCTATTTTTTTTTAAATCTAATATATTAGTAAATAGTTCTTGTGCAGAATTATCTGTTTTAGAGCTGGCACATATGAGGCAACAAGTGGCCCAAATAAGCTATCTAGATTTTATAAATATTAAAATATGAATATGATTTTAAATTGCACATATGGCAAGACAAATATAAGCAATGAGGAAAAAAGGTGTCTCCAGTACTTTTGAATAGTATTAGAATTAATTGTTTTATTGCAAATGTTGAATGTAAATAGAATTTTAATTCTGCATTTTAGATAATTTTCAGAACACAACATCGAGAAGGTGAAGCTGTGAATGTGATTACACTGATGCTGTTTTGCAAGTTTAAAAAATAAATATAATTACATCATTTTAATATATTTTTGAGAGAGATGTCCTTCAAGGAATCTTTGAAAGAGAGAGATGCACACATTTGCTAAATATGGTGCACTTTTTATCACTAGATTTGAAGCATGTAGCACTGAGTCAGCATACAGGGCTAGGATTAGGGAAATGCTAAATTTTTATGTACAATCTGGGAGATATTGATAGGAGTTGTTTCCTTTTATTTGAAAAATAAAACCATAGAGTGCAAAGACATTTTTAACATACTGAAAAACTAAAACCATAATTTTTCATGCTGCACTCCATATTAGACTGTTATTACTATCAGTGTAACAGAAGTTAATTAGATCTCCTATTTCAATTTCTATCAAAATCATGTATTAGTTTTGCTGTGGAACCATTCTGGATATCCAGCATATAAAATAATTAGCACTATTCAGCAGAGTTTCTCAACCTTCCACACATGCTTTCATGGTTGGTTGTACATAAAAAGAACAACTCGTCTGTTCCCCAGAAGCTTTTGAGCACTTTTATAAGATAATTGAGCTCTGAGTAACCAAGATATTCTGCAGCCACAGCTCCACTGAGTATTTAAAAATTAGGTTTGCTGCAGAGTACAGCTAGATTTTAATCTGTGCATTCAGAGTAAAACAAGATTATGTTACTGAATTAGCAAACTGCTGTACGATTGAAGCTGTTAGCCCATGATATCTCTCTTTTCCTTCCTCAGAAACACTTTAGAAAAAGTTCTGTGATCTTTCCATCAGAAAGTGTTTGCCAGCATGAGTACATGCTGGCAAATGTAGACATATGCAATCTTTGTATTGCTACAAGTCATGTAGAGATATATACGACATTTCAGCATATAAAGTGCTGATGCCTAATGAAGCTGCTATACTTTTCTCTCCCCAACCCTGAACTGTAAAGATCTGCATTCAATATCAGATGTGTTTTGTTATTCACTCCGTATTTCAGTAATGAGTTTCTGTGACTTACCTATCCTAAAAAGTGAAGAATTATGAGTGTAATGCAACAGTTCTGTAACATTCTGTATTTTCTGTGTAAAAAGTATATATTACCATGTGGTTGCAATTATATGTTTCAGCCCCACCCTCAACATTTTCCTAACTGTGTAAAACATATTATTTGTGACAAAGAAGAAATACAGTATAAATCCATATCTGCAAAGGTGAGACCAGACAGTAACAGACACTCTTGCTCTACTTTAAGACCAAAAAAAATTACATCAATAATTTCAGAAACCTGGGATCAGATTTAGAATCTCTTGGTAACCGTATTCAGAATTATGATTTTGTTTTTTACATTTTATAGTACCACTACCCTGTAAAGTAAATTCATGTGACAACACAAATTTCAGCAAGAGCAGGAGGAATAACCATAAATGGATGAACCTAATTCTGACAGGTGTTGAGCAGTGAACCTTAACCAGGCTTTAGAAAACCACTGACTGGGGAGGCGAACAGAGGATCAGCATCTCTCAGTATCAGTCCCAGAACCATTAACTGCATAGTAACATTTACGGATGATGACAGCTATGACACATATATCAAGTACTGCTTACACTATTATCAAAAAAAGGAAAATACAGTATTAAAAATAATACCTGGTTCACAATTAATACTATCAGTAGGCACTACTGGATTAATGGCAAAGGGTAATAGACCCAATCCAGAACCTGGCAGAATCATTAGGAATAGAAGATTCTCATGAAATAAAAACATTTCTGTATAAATGACATTTCATTAATTCTTACACTGCCAACTGCAATATTTTCTTTTAATAAAAGATGATGAGCTTTCCTGTTAGTCTTCTACAATTTAGAAACCCCACAGCTGCTTCAAGTCTCACTAAAGATGGCCTAAACTTTATTACTCTCCTGATTAACACAAAACTGGAATGATGCTTACTTTTAAACCAAACTTTTGCAATAACTCTCTCTATGGCAAGGTAAGAATTAAATATACGCACTCACTTTGCATGCATCAAATCAAGCTCTTTCAGAAAAGTTATTTGTCCCCATTAAAACCCCAAGGTGTTGCAAGCTCTATTTATAAGTACTCTTCTTAACTGCTTCACCACAGGGCACATGCTTTTAGTTAAAAATAAAACAAAATAAAAATAAAATAGCATATAATTGTTTGAATTATATCTGGGGTTTTTAGCAGCCACCTCAGCAAGTATTTCTGAAGTATAACAATGGCCACAGAATATGGCCAAAATTATAAATCTTCTTGATCAAAAGAAAACAAATAGTCAATAATTTTTAAGACTAAGTTTCTAAATAAAGCCAACCTAATTTTGAGGGAAAGTTAAATATTTTTAACACAGTTTATCTCATGAGAGAATGAATACTGTCAGTAAGATCGTAGCACAATTTGGTGTGTTACTTCTCTATGGTGGTTCTCATTAAAAAATGTACTATATTGTATTAAAATACCCTTTATTGTCTACATTTTGTATACAATAGAATACCAATATTTACAGTTCACTTTTTAAGACTAGCATAAGTTGGTATTGTTCTGTATTAGATAAAGATCAATATTCCTTTTTTTCACCAAATTATATAAAATACATTGCATTTAGTTTTATGTAATAACTGTGTAATATATGGTTATAAGTCTGTGACTTGCTAGTCAATATTATTAAGTAAATGTTTGTCTACAAAAATGACAAAAACTAATTGGCTCATATATTTTTACTCTAATGTTGAAGACAAAAATGGCCAAAAAGGAGGGGGAGGATTTTCCGAAATGTTGAACATGTTCTTGCTCTACACAATTAGTTTTATACAACAGTGGGGGCTTTATATATAGATAATTATATACCTTGATAATAAAATTTTCTTAGTCAAAATTGCAGCAAAAATCAGTTTGTTCTCAATCAACTTTTAAAATTGCATAAATTATGAAATCTTTATGTCAACCTGAGTCAAATTTCATCATATTTAAAGTTAAACACTCAGAAAATGTGTATGTATTCCCAGCTATTAAAAAGTTCATTTTATATGAGTTGCTATCTTCACTATTACTAGAACTTTTCCTCATTTGGGATTTTAAAAAAAGTATTCCAGTATTTTGGCTCTTGAAAATACGTATTAGGGTTACAGAATAAACCAGTAGGTTTGAAGACACATCGCAAAAATGTCACTGAATTAGGAATCAATTTTAGGGGGGGGAAAAATCCTTATCTTTTATGGTGAAAATCATATAGGCAATATTTTACAGCCATCTAAGCAATAAAGAGAATTTGTTCATTATTTTAATTGAGATAGCTTTTAATCTTCCATGGGTTATAATTTGAGAGATTTGGTTATACTCCAGAACAATAATGTTAAAAATCACCAAGTCAGCAGCCAAACGAAGCAATACGTTTTAATAGGAGTAGTTAGGTAACTACGACACTTCTTATGTGATTTGCAGGGGGACTGCATGCTTTCTCCTTCTTTATCTCCCAGCAACCTAGGTTAAAAAACAAGCCCTCCAAAATCAAAGCCAAACTAGCACATATTGCAGCCTCCATCACTTACAGGTCTTGCAGCAGCCATCATTATACGTCTGCACAATTCCTCCATTCTAGGAAAATAAAAGGAGAATATAGCAAAAACACTGTGCTTGATGCAAAGGTAAATTGTATCTCAAGACATTCCCTGTTTTGAAGATGCTCATCTAATAAAAAGTAGTATCACTGAAATGAAGAAAATTACACAGATATGTATCAGCTGAAGGTTTGGTTCACAAATTCTTTGCAACCTTTGAGATTGAAAATGAACTCATCATTGCTGACAAGTTCAGTGGTGTTTAGTTGGCATCTCCTTTGAAAAAATCACTTAATTTCTATAAGCATATTTTTATATCATCCACTACTATCTGTTTCCCCATAACTGAGACTTATCAGGATAGTTTAAAAAATTCACGTGTGTAGCCCGGAACTGCATATCAAGCAGTCAACAGACCATAAATAGAGCTCTTAAGATAACAACAGAAAAAAGACATTTTTCAGTTTCTATCTTTTCATGGGAGCATACTTTTTTTATCTTATTAAAGAAAAATCACTGAATAAGTTGTTCAAGGACTTCTGAGCACTTAGACACTTGAATCTATATTCATGAATGATCCTGAGATGCCTGGCTGAAGAGCTTTCTTCTCAGCTACTGGTTTAAGTCTATGTTCAACATCTCTGAAAAACAGGTCAGACTGACTCAAGAAGTTAATTTTAGGTCTCCATTCTTTATAATCTTAACCATTATTACTAAGGAAAGATCCTAATAATGGTGTCAAAATGGTTCCAAGGAAGAAACTCAAGCATCAAGTCAAAGTAGTACAGACACTAATTTTACATAGTGTACCTTCTTCAGAATTGGAAAAAATAGGAACTTTTTTAAACAAATGCAATGGATAAGTAGGACGTGTACTAAATTCATGATCTGTAGTCAAGGCAACAATGGTACTTACCCTCTCTCTATATATATTTATTATTATTTGTAGCTTATATTAAATATATGGTGTACTGCAAGTGCAAGAATTATAAGAAGTATTCTAAAGTTAGAGAAGTATTAAATTAGAAATTAAACTGTAAACAAACATGCAGTGTATGCGAAGAACACATGTTCTTCAAAGCAGTTTATATTTACATTTTTAGATATATGATGTAGGTAGATACCCTCTCATGTGATAGATATTTTTTTATTATTTTATAATAAAAGGTTATTTTAAGAGATAATAAAATTTACATATACTCTGTCATCTTCCTAATCTTTGCACAACTTAATGAATTTTTTAATATAGCCAACTTTTATATGAAGCATTTCTGGATTGCTTGGTGTGATTTATTTTGTCTATGTTCACTACGAACTTGGCTAAGTGTTATTCTCAACTAAAGTAAGACACAGTGATTAGCACCTTATGTAGTGGTATGTTAAGAATTTTTCCAATTCCACAATATTTTAAAAGCAGTCATCAAGACCCAAACCAAATTTTTATACTGCTCACAGATACTTTGTCAGTTGAAAAGTCAACAGGAGCATAGGAAACAACTGCAAATTGCTGGTTTACATGTTTTTACTTACCACTTTTTTCATTTAAAGGAACTACATGAGCTATCCATGCGTTGTCAAGTGTAAGCCAAACTCCAGAGCAGTTATTGTCACTTACCTCACCCAAAGTACAAACCTTTGTACACTCAGTGTCATTAAACGGGGGGCAGACAACACTTGACCCCAGTATGATAGCCCCTGCAGTAGTCTTCTCACATTTGTAGTTGGTGCAGTTGGAGCTCCAGGTGCTTCCTTCCTGAGTATATGAACCAAAGCCATTGTCAGGAAAGCCAAAGCATCTCAGCTTAATCTACAACTTCAAATGTCTGTAAAAGTGGTGCCCTCATGCTGTAGTACCTACTGGAGTGGAAAGTCTTGCATACCACCCAGAGGTGACAAGGGGAAAGTGAGGTGGCTCTCCCCCAGCTGGCCTGGGGGATTCGGGAAGAGTTAAAGTTAGCAGGAACCTTTGTTCAGGGGAGAATTACGCCCGGACCCGGAAGTTGTAACAATATGGTTTTCCGGTAAAATGTGCTGAACACAGCAAAATATGTTTCGTGACATGTGCAGTAAGCACTTATATAACACCGTTAGTGGCCAATGGAAGAATATTTATGTATGTGGGAACCAGTGGAGAGTTGACATGTGTAGCCTAAAAAGTGTATAAAAGTAGCAGACATCATGCAATAAAGTGTTCCAGCCTCTGGATCCACAAGGGTTTTGTGTCGTGTCCCGCCTCAACCACGACAGGAAAGGCCATCCTCTAACTACCAGTGGCTAATCCTCCCTGGAGCCATGGTTCTATTCTCCAGCACGCTGCTCAGCAGGGGTGTCCTAGTGCAGAATTAAAGGGTTCTGTGCCAGTTAAATAGTTTCATTTGCTCTGAAAGCAATGGGAAGTGTGAACCACGTTATGGCCACATCTAAACTTCCAGGTATGTCCATTCTGAAATACACCATCAAGATTCTGAACCCCAGTGCTTCAGTTTGCACTCTTCCTTTTCGTAGTGACCAGAATGAGAAGAGTTGCCCTGAGAAGAGGGGGACATAGGAGTCCCGATGTGGACTCAGAAGCTCCCAACACATCTAAATCACAGTATATGCCTTAAAGTTACAATTTGAACCCTTGCCTGCACTTGGAGCATATCCAACCTTAAGTAAATTATAAAATTTACATATCTTTATAGAAAATGTTACAAGCAAAAAAATGAAAAAAGTGAAATCACAGGTCTTTAAATAAACCCGCTGTCTTCCTATCGTACACCATAAATAGTCTCTAAGTCTGTAAACAGCAGTAAGGAGGCATGAAGCAAGACTGACAGCATGAGTTAACTAAGAAATTACTGTCAGACACCTGTATTATTATAGTTACTTCCTATCTCTGTCCAAAGACACTTACCTCATACACAATAAGTGTTCCATTCTCCGTATGAAAAGAGCAGGACACGTTTTGACACACACCACAACAAGTATGGTGACTGAAGGAAGGAATATATATTTGATGCTGAAAAGAAAGGAAAGAAAAAAAACAAGCAAGTATTTTTAAACATACAGGATAAGGAAATTCTTTAATTTCTAAAACTAAAAATACCAAGAAAAAAATATACAGATGGATGGATGGGTGGATGCGTGGATGGGTGCATGCATGGAAGGATGGTCAGATATGTTTATGCATGCTGCTAGAAACTGCCTCTAAAAATAATCCTGTAGACACAAGACACACATCATCACTCTTAAATTCTCATATTCTTGCTGAGTTAACAGGATTAATAAAAGTTTTCACTAAAACTTTTATCCTAATTGTGCAGTTGTGCTCACAAATTGCATCATTCCTGTATTTTAAGAATACTGACAGCTTCACATTGCTGGGAACAGTTCATCATTGTGAAATGCATGGCATTGTATCCTGTGTTCTGATCCTTTTCTTGTAAACACTGTACAGTGTAACAAAGGTCTCCATCCAAGTACTGAATTACTGACTGTCCAGGATTCAGTACTGTGACCTCTTGGAAGATGCACACATCATCCTTCTCTAAAATGAAAAGAAATAAATGTTACCAGAGAGGGACAAAAGAAATCATCAAACAAATTAACAGAATCACTGGTAAGACAAAAGTAGGGCAAAGTCCTGTGCACTGCAGAAGTATTCTAACTTTTAGACTTGATTGTTTGTGGGTTTAATTATTAAAAAGAGGGGGAGGAAGTATAAAACAACTTAAGAAAATGCTACAAAATGCAAAACTGCCTAATATTGATAGTGTTCCTACAATGAAAGTAAAAAAAAAAAATTTGTTGTTCTTACTTTTAAAGTGTTTTAATATTTAACATTCAACTATTCTGCACATTACAAAATGTAGTCTTTCTGTCAATAAACTAGTATGTCTCCAATTACCTGTAGGCCAGTAATCTGCTCAAGCTGTACCATAAATGTGTGCTTTGTTCCCTGAGGCAGTTTAGCCTGGGCTGCTGTCAGGACTGCAGCATACCACAGTGCAAGTGCAGCTGAAATCCAGTCTACCGTGGGGTAGCTGAGCGAGGGAAGGGAGCAGAGATCTCATCTTAAGACCGGCTACCTACTCGTGTGCTGGCTGAACAGGTCTGTTGCTCTGGTGTGAGATGTTGTGTCATTTGTGCTTGAAAGTGGATTAGGAGCAGTTGCATTGCTCACACTCAGCTGCACTTCACAATATGCTTTCCATTTGCCCCTCACATGAGAGACTGTACCTGACTCTGAAAGCAGGGGCAGTTTTACAACACTCCTACACCCTTCAAGAATAGGCACAAAATGGATGGGCTAGAAGACAAAGCCTCATTTTCCAGAAAAAGAGTATAACTGCATAACTGGGTAGACACACACCAAATCAAGACAAAGAGAAGGTTACTATGGTTCTATTTCTGCTTTCTTTGCATGCCTTTTCTGCTAAAAACTAAAACACAACAACAAAGAATATGAAAAATTACCACAAATGTAGTGAGTGCATCCGCAAGCACTGGAAATGCTACTATCTATTTTTTTAACTTCTCCCTAGGTATAAAAAGATAAAAGTTTGCAAATTCATGCACAATTACATGTAGTGCTAAGCAGACAATTTTCCCTAAAAATGTAAAATATTACTTTTATCACTTCTACCCCAGGTTTCACAAACAAGAAAAATTGTAATGTACTCAAGAAACAGTAGCACATTCAGAGTTATTCAATGTATTTTTCTCTTTAAACAAAAAACCACTTCATTTTCTGAACAAGTGCATAAGAGCAGCTGAGTAAATAAAAAGCACTTTTTTCCTGAGATACAGAGTTATTTCAATAATACACATATTAGTAAAAGATTGCCTTCTAAGAATTTACTTCCAAAAAATAAGTGAAATTCAAATTTAAAACTCCTGACTAGACTTTATGTTATGCAGTCTTCACATATGGATATTTGATATGGAAAATATTGTCACTATGGTTATAATGGTAGTTTGAACATTCATTCATAACTATTTTCCAGATCACAGTCCCTATTACAACAAACTACATGAGAAGGAAAATATTTATGAATTCTCCTATCAGCTAAATTCAATAATGTTAAATCACTGTCATCTAAAGCATAAATGATTAACAAAAAAAATGCATTTCTCCAGATGATATTTATGGTTATAAAACTCATTCCTCATTAATTATTTTAAAAAATGGGAACTATTTTGGTAGAAAACCTTATTAGCATATTGTTTAGTGTTAATATTGAATAGGACAATATTACAGTTGCTTTTCTTCTTTTGACATCTTACAACACAGAAAGGGAAATTTCTCCAAGGAATAGTTGACAACACTGTGCAGACACTTGTTGGAACCATGTTCTTGAGCTGGGAACTGGGAGGCTGTACCACCCTGTCCGTGTTCAGCCTCCACACCCTTTGCAACTAATTGAAACAAGGAATATAAAGGGAAGAGTAACGGGGCTGAAGACCATTAATAAAAATATCTAAAAACACCACTTACCAATTTACAGGTCAGCATAGTAGCATTTTCACAGTTACATTCTGAGGAGAAAAAAAACCAAAACATAATAAAATGTGTTAATTGGTTAGCTTTAGTTAACAGTTGTGACTAAGGAATAAAGCAATAATTACCACAGTGCCATTCTGGACAACATTGCCCAAGTATTTTTTCCTTCACAGGTGTCATATCATCTGTGCAAATCATAGGAGGCTCAGAACAACGATTTTCATCACAAACTAAATGAGGGAAAAACACACATATGAGAATTTACTCAAATTTACTTCATATTTTCCAGCTTACATTTCTTTTGATATGCTATTTTTAAAATAATGTGATGTTACATAAATTTTATTGTGTTTCTTAAGCATCTGGATTACATTCGGAACTAAAAAAATAACAAAGATTTTCAAAAGTGATTTTAGTTGCCTTAGAATATATTTAAATTTTCACAAAACATCACACAGGATTCATTTAATATTCATCCTACTTCAGAATCACTCAAGATTATAACCAGTACCAAAGACAATTAAAATCATAGTCTTTGGAAGACACAGGGTTTTTTCTTCTCAGATACAAATGTTCTGTAAAGCCCACTCCCATGAGATAACAGGGAGCAAATGCCATCCTGGGATGACACTAACAAGAAAATACTTTCCTCTCTTATCAGAGGTGGCTTACTGGGACTTTGAGAGAAGATCATACCTGCCAGAATTTGGCGACAAAGAATGTCAAAGGTTTTTGCAGAAACTTTCACTGGGGTAAAAGTGTTAGGAAAAGGACAGGACCAAACTACAGAAACAACTGAAGTAAAAATTACTAAACCCCAAACTTAGTGGAAGACAATTTAATTAATTGAAGTTACCCTGAAAGACTGCAATAGGACAAGACTGCAGCAGCATAAGAGTCAATTTAAATTAAGCAGTTACACTTGTAGACATTACTACCTTACTTAAGAACATATAGCACAATCTGTATGTTTTATGAGGCTATGAAAGGGACTAGGGTTACACTGCAAATATTTTTCTTCTGGCTGCTCATTGTTTGAAAAGTAATCAACCCTACTCCTTCCCCTAAAAGCTAAAAGTGAAAGAAACTGCCTAAGCATTAATGAATGGTACAACAGTGGTACAACACAGAAGCTATTTTAATAAATGTGTTTAAATATATGAACAATTGTATACTGACACTCCAAGGACGGGATTCAGTTCCATGTTAATATATCAGTACTTAGATCATCATGAAAATAACTATATTCTGTCTGGTGAACAAAATAACCTCTCCAGGCTCCACTGACTAGGCTCATTAGACCACCACTGAGCATAGCAAGAACTTTGAATCTACCTTCATTCGGATCTCTTAGTCTATATCTGAAGCCCACCTTAAATGCTGAATCAAAAAATTTACACACACACACAAATCTGCTGGTTTTACTAAGTTTGGCAACATAATGAACTGACAACAGTTACACTCACCGCAGTAGTAATGAGGGCAACAGTAATGTATGGTATTAAGGTCTACAGTGAGAATTTCCCCTTCATCACACAAAGGAACAGGCTCAATACAGGATTCACAAACTAAACATTAAAAAAAAAAAAAAAGTCAGACATTTACAGAGTTTTAAACACTAAAAAGTTAGCACATGTGAATTCCATTTTATAGAATAAATAACAAGTAATATTGTGTTTATTACTTATATAACAGAACTTTCATGGATTTTATATAAAAACTTACAAAATTCAAGTATGATGGTGAAAATTATGTTGGAAACAAAAGATCCCCAAACCCAAAAATAATTATTCTCCAGATTCACACTGATCCGTGTGAAGTCTCACTGACTTCTCCAAGAACTCCTGGCTTAAATTACTTGGTTTAGAATTATAGTCTGATTTTGTAAACTTTTGACTATTCCTTAATTCTCCATAAACATGTTAGAGGCTTCTTACCACAGAGATGTGAGAAACAACAAGGATCTTCCTGTTTTGCTTGAACAATAAATTGATCTTCTCTGCAGTCCAGCTGGGAAGCATTGAAACAAACTGAAGGATCACATTCTGTAGGATGCAAAACAAACACTATCTTAAAAGAGGCCACCAAGACAATACTAAAAAGATAAAGAAAATATATTCTTGATCTACTTAGTAAAATAAAACACCCCAAATTGGCTGTAAATCAGAAATGATGCAAAACACAAACACAAAAAAAATATTGGGGAATGAGGACAAAAAAACATATCTTGTTGCCTGGTGGTATTTACAGTGTTCCGTTCTGTTAACAGTCAAAACAACTTGTAATGCAAATTTTTTTCAACATACAATGCAGGTATGGAAAACTTCCCAGTAACTGTGGTTTTGTATTTCCCTTACCACATCGGTACTGCGGACAGCAGGACAGGGGATGGTAGCCTACCACTAATTTTTCATTGGGTTTGCATGTTGGAATAATGGCATCACACAATGACATGTTACATTCTGTGGAATTAAAAAAAAAAAAAAATTGTGTATTTAAATAGATACAATTGCAAGTTCTACAGCTCAAGATATTTATACCATCTAGTACAGAGATCCACTAAATAAGAGCAGCCCAAGCCAGTTTAAAGTGCACTCCATACCATCATGTAGACTTTTGAGCTCAGCACAAGCAAGCAGCTATATCCCTCCTAAAATGGGTATTTACTTGCTCTGCTTCCTATACATGAAGTCAGCTAAAGTGTCCCACTGATTTCCCCTAAGCAAATTTAAAATACAGCATTGGTTACAGGTATCTAATGAGCAAAAGCACCACATCAGCTGGACCATTTGTTCTCAATTTCCTTGAAGATGTTAAGAAGAAATAAGTATATTTTGTTTAATCTTTTAAGAGTAATAAGTTTGTTCTCTTTCCTAACAATCGTGCAGTGATCAGTTCACAGAAAACCGCATCTGGAAAACAGCAGTAGATCAGAGGATACTGCTTGTCACACCAAAGTACTGGTAAGGAAAGCAAACAGGGTCTAATGACTGCCCCAATTATCAAGGTACTTCTATCATCAAATAGATATAAATTTATTATTAAATTTCATGCAAGAGCTTAAAAAATAATTTTTAACAGAAACTTTAACTGGTGGAATTCTATGAAAAAATTTATTTCAGCGAGTCAATTCTTATATAGAAAAGAAGCCTGAATTCCTGGCCCAACCACCCACAAATACTCAAAAATTACTTCTGAAAAATGTTACCTTGAACGCTGCCTAAAGTTTGTCAGCTGCAAGTGAATGTCAAGCACTTACCTTATACTTCTGTTACTGAAAACAAGTGTGGTACATACCACAAACTTTCTTGGGACAGCAAGCTCTCTCTTCAATGACACGGACAATAACTTCCCCTTCTCTTTCACAGACTGGCGGTGGATCCTCATTGCATTCAGGTTCTACAGCAACAATGCTTCCATTTTCTAAACAGCCATACATGCAACAGCCTCTCACGGACCCATTCCAGATCTCCCCAGCAGCGCGGGGTTGTCCTTTACTATCTGTACATGCTGGAAGAAAAAACCCGTTACAACCCTTCAGCACATAGGCAGCTGCCATTTTCTATAAGCAATTATGAATTGCATAAAATTATTGCATAAAATAATACATCTATCAAGCATTATGATAAAGGAATCTGAGAAAGGATGATGACCTTAAAAGCCCCAAAGGAATGAATGCTTCACTATGGATGAAAACAGGTGAGGGCAAGGTACAGAACCTGCCTATGCTATTCTCCCTGAGTACTAGAGGAAGAAAAGCTTGAAAGGTATGGAACAGTGACCATCATTTTCCCCCCAACTGAAGTGCATCAGCACTGGGTCTTAAATCAAAGTGAACTGAAAGCACAAAATGCTGTAGCTCAAGACACAGCTAGGCGCTGTTGAACGGACCTCTACCAGATTCACACTCACTGAGGGCTGACACAGAACTTAAAATCTTATACTGAACTATGGTTAATATCATCATATCTGCAAAACTACTCTGTTCTGATGTACTTACTACATTTTTCTTCTGGTATACAGAGGTCAGAGTCCGTTCTATGCAGAATGGTGCCATTTTTACACACACAGTCTTCCCTCAAATAGGAGCAGGGAGAATCTTCATAGAACCATTTATTTAAGCATGTCTTAGCTTCACAGGGTTGCACACAAGGCTGGTATTCCTTGCCCTCAGGACAAGTCAATGCTGCAAGGAATGAAAACAGGACATCGAGTGTTTCTGTTATTCTTTCAGCATTTCATTGTATAAATAGGTAGCAAGAACAAATTACTGTATCACAGAAAGAATGCATTCATACTTTTAACAGTACTTTAGGTAAGCAACTCATTCAACTGAGATTAAACTCATTCATGACACTTTGACTAAAAGAATATATCTTTAGAACTTGTACCCCGATTTACCTATCCTGTGATAAAGTGAAATAGTACTTAAAATAATAATAGAAAGTAATATATTTTTAACTCATCACTAAACACTAAATCACTAAAAAACCTCATCATTAAAGACACATGGTGTATAGAATATGGTTATAGGCTTACAACAGTAATCAGCTGTCCTCCATTTAATGCAGATGTTGTGCTTGTTGCACAAAGCCACATATGCAGAAAGTGCATCACACTCATAATTCCAAAAATAAGTACTGCTGATCCACATCTTCTTGCAAAATTCCTGTGGTGACACCTAGGAACATATTGCAATTGGGAACTAAAAAGTATAAGGACTTTATGTAATTAAAATAAATCATTAATTACAAGAAATAATACAGCCCCAAGAGAAGAAAAATCATTAGCAGCGCCTAAATTAAAAAACTCCTTTTTTCTTAGAATACTCATTCTAGAAAACTTAAACAACCAGTTTTGTATGCTCATCAGAACACAGTCCTAAGGAGATTTTCATAATACTTGCAAGAACTTTTCAGTATAGCCCTGTCAACTAAAAGTCAACAATCTCAACTAAACATTTCTGCTATACCTTCCATAAAATCCTGCTGAGAATGAATTCTTTATTACTCTCTTTCTGTGTCTGTAGGACCTGAGAGCCTATGTTACTGAGTGAGTCTAAATGCAGGTGGTGCAACCTATCTTACTTCTGTTGTTTCCACTTGCTTAAGTTCATAACAAGGTGGAAGTCAGATTTTGTTTCATTCTGCCTGTTCGCTACTGTGCTGCACTGGCGCTACTCTCCCTTCTTGATTCCAAACTGCTTACCATTGGTTCCTCTCACTAAGTTTCTGTGGCAAATATAGCTCCTTCCTTTCAGAAGAACTTGCTCCCTCTTTTTCTACCTGGGAAAAGTGAGGAGAGGTCTTGGGAATGTGAAGGAAGAGGCTCAGCTGCCTGCAATACCTTTAACAGCATTTGTCCCTGATGAAAACCAAAGTTTAACACAACACAAACTAAGGGTGGAAAGGCAGGACAGCAAGAAGTGAATCAGGAATCTTAACGCATCTATCTCTGAGAAGAAAGGGACACTTGAGTAATTAATCCTTTTTATTTTTAATTAAGCAGGGAAAGTCAGTCAGAGCTCAGAGATTAGGGATTTCCTCATTTTCTGTTCTGGGAAGTGGCAAGATGCATGCTACAGCTGTATCTCTATTAGAAAGTACAGTTTTCAGAAACAAATTATAATGATTTGTTTAAGAAATGCTACCAAATTGTCAACATAATAGTGACTAGGTCAAAATTTAACTGGAAATTTCTTTAGTCAAATAAGTCTGAGACTGCATGAGTCAAAGTTGTATGCAGCAGAAGTATGAGACTTTCTGTTCTAGTGACCCATAAGAAGAATTTAATAAAAATAACTCTTCTGGAAAATATTTGCCTTGACATGATGATCTGGTGTCTTGCCTTTGAGAATTTCCTATTAATTATTTTAAAATAAATAATTTTTAAAACAGCATAATAGCACAGAGATCAATATAAATGTGTGCATATATCTCTCCCTCTTTTCTTAATTATATGACTTTTATTTGAATTGCATCTGCAATTTTTCTGATCTTTGTACTCACTTTCTTGTGACAAGGAATGAAAATGCTTCTATTTAACAGTTCCATACAATATGTGCAGTTATCTTCAGTACAGTTTCTTACTGGCCTCCTCGTTGTTACATCAAGTGATTTCTCAATTTCCCAACTCTTAATGAACATTTCAATTTCCTCCATATTTGTAATTATGGTCATGTTTTGCATTTTCAGGTCATCACTAGGATCTCCATTACACACCCCTGGAAACAGAGCATCATATTTAAAACACAAAAAACCACCCCATGTGCCTACTTTTGGGAAAGAAAAGTACACTTAATAAGGTAAGATTAACATTGCGTCAGGCTGACCCGCGCAACTTAGTCACCTGAGTTTATAAATGAAAGCAGCAATATGTCCACTGTAGTTCCAACCTTCTGCTTGTGACTTTAGTTCTCACCCCAACGGCTAAGTAAAATGAGCAGATCATACAATACATCTAATTATGCCTTTCCCAACAATTAATTAACTTTTGAGAAAAACTGCCAAAAATATGTGGTGTTGAGTGTAGCAAATTCGCTGATATGGCACTAGATTCTGATCTCATTCTACTGAATAGCAGTCAGCTCCTTGTGAGTAACTGCAGATGGCTTTCAAGTTAACTGCTTGTCACTGATAATTTGACATGTACTGAAACTTAACTGAACATTCTAAATGCAAGAAGTTGTGAAAAGAATCTTTTGATGAATAAATTGCTTTCTCAAGAGAAAATGTGGTTCTTACTCAATTTATTAATAAACCATACTAGTGGTTTATATCTCAGGAACTGATCAGGCAAAGTTCTCTATCTTGCTCCAACTTTCCTTCTGCACCGTTAACCCCACACTAAGCCCTTGACTTTGCACTTCCAGCCCTGCAGTCTGATGCTCTCCAGGGTCCCTTTTTAGAGCTGGACTAGCTTGCTGTGACAGGCTGTTTTTCTTTCAGACAGCATGGAGAAATACAGAAGATGTATTTGCATGATAAGAAGCATTTGACAGTAGAACAACATCCCACTATTCTTAACTCTTCTGCTTCTTCCTGCAAATCACTAACTGCTGGAATTAGAATTTGTAGGGTCATACTACAGAATTACAGAATAAACACAGTTTTTAAAAATAAAGCCAATTTACCACATAGTCACACCATTTTTTCTATTATGAGAGGGAGAGGATTGAAGAATCCCCATCAGGAATAAACAGCAGAGAATAGGACACAAGTGCTAAAGAAGGTTTCAGACTTTCCTGCAAAACGGCAAGTAGAACAGCACTTTAAAGTGAAGTTTGGATTTGTCTGCAAAGTCTTCCTCTTTGTATCTTCTCATGACACAAAGAGCAACTCTTCCATAACTATTCTATAATTCTTCCTTCGTTTGACCTCATCTCATCCCACTCTTTAAGCATGCATAGAGAGGATGGCATGATACTGGGAAAAGATGCAGGGACAACATGCACCTTCCCTCACTAGATCTAGGAGAACTTTCCTTTTCTTCAATCAGAATATAGCAATTGATTTTAAAGACTTAATTTGTTTACATTTAAAGCATATCTGAATTGCATTGTTTGCTTTTAAAACTAAAAGAGGTTTAAAAGATCATAAAAAGTTCATTTTCCTTTTCAATACAGGGTAGTCTACATAAAATTACAATGCACCAGAAAATGAACACTTATGATAGAATTTAAGCAATTCTGAAATGTCTGCTTACACTTCTTGATATTATTCATATGGGCAGAGTTATAAAAAGGCTCTCAGGGAAGCCTGAAACATGCTACATTTACCATCATTATAATTCAAGTCAAAGACAACTCAGCACAGTTTTGGACCCTAGATCCAACCTCAGGAGTTTTAAATTCAGATTCACTATCCTCAGGAGACTTGGACCCTTTTTATTGCACAGCAATAAGCTGACATTGCTAACAACAGCCAGATAGTCTTTTCTCCATAGTCACTGAAATATGTCACTGTCACTACCTGAACTTCATTAGCAGCCACTTCTCCGTTGCAAATTTTTCCCTTTTCTTTACTTGACTTCAACAATATTCTTAAAAACAGGTAGAAACAAGTCAATTTTTTAAAAGCTATTTAGATACAATGTGCTGATCTCTACTTATTCTAAAAAGTAATTTATTAGCATGCAGTACTTTCAAAGAGAATGATTAATTTATTGCTATTAATTAGCATTATTTCACAAGCCTGTTTCACACAGGATTGTCATCATAGCTAATGAGGGTCAAAAGGAGAGCTGTAAGGACAGTTGGTCACAGACACAAAAGGGAGTTGCAAATTTCAAATGGGAAGTTATTAAATAAGAAAAAAATTGTGACCATAGCCTCACCACAAAGTCCTTCTGTGTGCATCGATGTGTTAGAGTGTAATCCATACTGTATATCTATGATGCCTGTAACATGAGCCCACTTGATGCTAATACCAGCTGGGGTATTAACAACGTACATTGCGCCAGTATCCTGAATACTCAGTCCTTCTTTTGAAAATGGTAATGGTTGAATTACAGAATCCACTACTACCTAAAATAAACCAAACACATTTTAGGGATAAAAACAGATTGCAATTATGTATTTTATATGTATTTCTATTTTATAAGAAAAGTTAATTTTTTACAGCCTCTACCACATACAACAGTCACAGTGTTACAACACAGAGCTTCCCATCAGTGCCATTTCCTATAACTGCAAATGAAGTAGGCATGAGAAACAAAATCTTTTCTAAGGAAGGAATAAATCTTATTTATCGTATATTGTATCATAAAACAAAACCTCGTTCCATTTATTCAGAGCTATCTGTTCTGACTTATAACTGACTAGCAGGAAAGGCAGATTAAGTATTTATCCCATCGTGGAACATTTTTGTTCAGTTTTAGGGTTTTTGAAAGTACAGTCTCAAGTATAACTGCTTTTTCAGCTTCTTTAAAATCTCTAAAGAACTTTGAAGTGTTATTTTTGGGTAAATGACATATAAGTGAAGCATGGTATCAGAAATGTATGTTGGTTTGCTTCTAGGATATCATAAATTACTGTGAACCTGAACTGAAAAACTAGTCCTAACCGTGTAGTATTTAATTTTAATTCTGAATTATTACAGTCTACAATAGAATAGCTCTCCAGCTATTTTTAAAGTCTACATACTGTTGATATATACTTACTTTTCTTGCTAAGCGATTGATAAGCATTTTATATGTGGGTGTTGTGACATTTAATTTCTTAAAACAGAGACCCGAAGCGCTTGCAGGTGGAACCTTGAAAGAAAAGTGACAAATAAGTTTAATTACTATTGTTTTTCTAATTCTGTGCCAGTGGTATTGGGAATTTTTTCTATATATATAACATTAATGCATTTTAGAATTAGTAAAATAAAAAAGTACTTACTAGTTTTCTTATTGAATTTGCACTCTGGAAAATATTAAAAAAAAAATAGAAGTGCAATGATAATCAGCAGCGTTTTTATTTATCAAAAAGAAGTTGACTACTCCTTTGTCTTTAAAGTTCTTCTACAATCTGCTAAATAATTACACTAATTTAATATATTCCTTATAAATAATAAAAAATATTACCAGCTAAGGGAGTGCACATGCTGAAAGGCCCTTTCAAAAATATTTCTTAAAGAACTACAGCTACAGACTTCTAAAGCCCATCTGCCTATGTGTTCTACATTACCACCTGTAGACTAACCAAGAAACAGTGAAGAGAGAAATTTAATAGAAAATTGATAGCAATTTAATAGAAAACCTCTAAACCAGTACATGACTGTTGCACTTAAGAGTCTTAAAGTTCAAGTGTCCAGTTGCCCAGTGAGAGCAAATAAAGAAGGATGGGAAGGAAAGATGCCTTTTGAAGTTCCTCATCAGTAACTTGTTTATCCACAAACCAAGGATGGAAACAAGCCAGTTGCTCAAGGGCTGCATAAATTAGGACTACAGACAATGTAAAGGAAATGTATGTATAGATTCTAAGGATGAGACTGACCTGACCTTAACTGGCAGTCTAAACTAAAGTGGCCAGATCCCCTTGGTAGGCAATGCAGACTTAGACAACTACAAAGAACAACTCGCCACAGTAATCCCAATGCCATTAATACTTTCCTAAAATAACTACAAAATATTTTTTGTGACTATCCAAAATATTTTAGTATTTTGACCATATTGTAAAGTGTAAGTTCAAGGCCAGAAGAAGACTTGTGCATGGAGAGCCTGAAAGGAGACATGCAGATTCAGATGTTATGGCACCTCTTCTAATTTAAACGCAATCTGTTGCAGTATGCTTTTAAGATATAAAAGTATGCTGAAGTTGTAATGATTGTTTAAAGTGACCACGCTTCTAAAATGGTGATTGTAACCCTTTGTGTAACCCTTCTTGTTCCCAAGATTCCCCACTGTACCTCGGAATGTCACTTATTGCTTGTTAACCCTTCCTTGTAATTGGTTGGTTTGTAACACCTCCTGAACTCCCACTGGTCACCCTGTGATTCCTCCAAGAGCTATTTAAGCCGTTACCAGAACAATAAAATCCTCTCTCTGCCTGCATCTCTCCTGCCTGGCTGACGGCACCAGTGGACCCTCTGGGGGGCCGTGAGGTGCTGCGGGGTGGGGGGGCCAGGGGAGGGCACGCTCCCCCTCGGAGCAAGGGGTAAAAGGAAAGGCCTCTTGCTCTGGGGTTCCCCCTCCCTATCCACCTCAGCGTTCATCAGCAACCTACATCTGAATTTCCTTATAATACAACAAAAGAATTACTATTTAACCTGAGACAAAATACTTTTATCTAGAGAGTATGATTAAGCACACTCCTTGAAAATTAAATAACTTGCCATTTTTCAATGGGTATGGCTTTAATATCTAAGTTTTAGTTGACATATTTTTGCAGAATTTCATGCTTATAACAAAAAAATTCAAGAAACTATTACAGTTATTGCAGAAATGCAAGAATCTTACCTGATTAGCAGGACATTTTTCAATATGAGCAACAATAATTTCTCCTGGTAACTTGACTAAAATGTAGGAAGCCATATTGCAGAGGGCTATGTTGTTTCCATCAAATGTAATAATACTCAGTTCAGACAGTACAGAACATTGACCTAAAAAAGTCATTTAATGAGGTTACCACAAAACCAAATACAGGACATTTCTCAAACCTTTCATTTCTAACATTATTTTCTTTCACATATACCTTCAGATAGATAGATAGGTAGGTAGGTAGGTAGATAGATAGATAGATAGATAGATAGATAGATAGATAGATAGATAGATAGATAGATGACCTTGTTCTGCAGACAGAATATTGAGCCATAAGCAGAACAAAGTGTTTAGGTACTCAGTGGAAATACCTTAACCTACTGTTGTGTGCCCAAGACAGGATAATGTTTAAAATGGTGATAATTTTCACTTAAGTCAATGTTTTACAGGCAAGGTCAATGAATCTGTACAGTTTGAGATAAAATATATGTATTAAAATATACATATTTTTGAGATACTGATAACAAGGAACTTTTCTGTCCTATCTTGAAACAAATATAAAGTGCAATATTGGTTTAATTAACCAGTTACAAAATACCATTGGCTGATTATCATTAATCAGTAACTGCAAGGGTTAAATATGATTTCTCTTTAGCCTTTTTGTTCCCTTGGCAGACACTCATCTGCCAGTTTCCGCAGTTTCTAAACATGAGTAAAAACTGCAATTAGAGTAACTGAAACTGGGGGGTTCTGTCTTTCAGAAAATGCTAGAATTTTTTTTTTTTTATCCCAAAATGTTGAAATCTTAACATTTTTACTGATACAAATTCTGAAAAGTTTCAGCTGGAAAACTGGTGTTCATGCTGCAGATGTCATTTCAATGTTTTCATTCAAAACAAAATATTTTGGTTCTCTTGAATGTTATAATATAACGTGGTTGAACGTCAATTCAAATATACCAAAACATTCAGTATATTTGATTCTGTTTTGCTGATGAATAGCTCTTTTAAATTCATTCCAGTATTCAACCTCATATTCCCACTGGGAAAAAACCCTTAATTTATTACTTGAAATTTAAGGATCAAGACTCTATATTTTATTAAAAATAAAACAGTGACTTACAGGGACATTCCCATTCTGGACAGCAGCTATCAGTGTTAACTTGAACAGGCATTCCTCGAAAACCACAATCTGGCTTTTGCACATCCTTAGGGCAGTTTCTTGAAAGGTTGTATAACATCCAACCCATATTAACACATACATACTGGCTACATTTGTCATCAGATTCAAGATATCTTGGCTGTCATATAAGGAAAAAAACAACCAGAATCAGCTCTAAGCTCATTGCTCTTATTAAGTCCAAACAACTACTTATCCATCCCCCTGCTCTGAGAAACTATCAACATATCAACCTGCCCCTCATCAGTTATTTTGGAATGATTTGCACTTTTGTGATTGTAACAGGTGGTAACAATACATGTTCCATCTAACACCACACCCTTCCTGTTCCATCTAACTTTGGTGGAATACCCTATAAAACGCATTATCCACTGAGGCTATGCATTATAGTCAGTAATAATCCAAAGCATTTTAAGAAACACATAATCATGCATTCCCATCAGCTTAAAGCATATGACAAAGAAACAAATGGGAAAAGGACAGACAGAGTGAGATTAGGCAGAAACCCAAAAATTCCATGGAATATGGCTTTTTCTGCACCTCGGTAATATATTTAGCTATCTAGAACAAGCATATAGCTTTAAAGCCTTTTTTTCAGAGCAATGCATCCAAGTTGTAGGATATACCAGAGCAGTGTAAGAGCAACAATAAAACTACCTTCTAAGAATAAATGGGTATTTAAAAATATACAAACTAAAAAGAAAACAGGAACTATTTAAAATCTCTGATGTTACATACATAGCATAACAGAATAGACTGAAAAGTAATATACAATTTAACATATAGGGACAAGTAAAACTGATCATACCACACACTCAGAAGATGTAGGCATCAGTGTATGCATCATCGTACCAAAGTAAGCCTTGTCAGATACAGCTGTTGTTTCTGAAGAGGAAGGCAGAGCCATTCCACCACTAGAATGAGATAAACCTATTTTAGTTCTCTCTGTGGCCTCTGTTAAACTAAAATAATGTTTAATGGGTTTCTGTGTTGGGATTTTGGACCTATCTGATGTTGTTAGACCTGGGACTCCAGAAAGAGAGATATTTTTTACTGAGGTTGTATTTCTTGAAAAAAGCGAACTCTGAACTGCAGTTACTGGCAAATAAGGAAGGGAAGATTTGTCAGTTGTGGTTTCCTTTGTCTTGGTAACATTTCTTTGCTCATGTGAAGTCTGACCACTTTGTGAAATTTCCACAGATCTCTCATATGAGGTTGAGTACTTAACTTCTGAAGCTGTATACGAGGTACTCTTCATCTGTGACAATGGACTTGTTGTACCAGTTGTTTTCATTACAATAATTTTTGGAGTTTCTTTAGTGCTCTGTGAAGCTTGAGTTACTGCAGCTGTAAACAAAGATTTGTGTGTTTCTATGGTGGTAAGAACTGAAGTTGAAGCCATATAAAAATCCAAATCAGCAACAAAAGAATCAGTGGTTTTTGTAGTAATCCTAGAGGCTAGAGTAGTGCCTGAAGTAACTAATAAACTGGCTGAAGAGCTAGGTGGTATTTTTGCAAAAATATAAGGTGCTTTTGAGGATGTGGCATTCACTGGTGTAGTGGATTGAGTGATGATTCCAGCTGATATGGCTGATAATTTTCCGTCTTCTTCTGCAGAACTTACTGAAGAACTCTGCTTTCCTAGAGAAACATTAGAGATATGAGTGGTCTTAGGAGGAGGTGAAGGCATAGAGGACTGGCTTTCTAAAGTGGCTTCAGAAATTTTAGGCATTAGTAATGAGGACATTACAATGCATGATTTTAGTGCTGCTGAAAGGTTGGAAGAAGGGTTTATATTTAAAGTGAATTTAGAAAAATTCACACAAGTCAGAATGTCTATAACTGGAATTTTTTAAGTTCCTTGTGTATCTAGAAATGAAACTGATGCTTGAGGAGCAGTTATATTTTGTGTTAGTGATGATGTGCTAATGACTGGGGGAATCAATGAAGAACTTGTAGTCTGAAATGTCACATAAGATGGTACTGATGTTGATAATAAGGTTGTAAATAAAGATGATGACCTTGTAAGAGAAGGATCTTTAGGAATGAAAGTTACTGAACTTTGAGCCAGAGGGTCAGTTCTCAATTCTGTATCTGAACTGCTTGGGTATACTCTCTAACTTCTGAAGTGGTTATTGATGTAACATTTAGAGGTACTACCAGTGTCCTGAGAGGGAAGACTATAGACATGATGGATTTCATTGGCTTTTTAGAAGTGGATGACACTGAAATTAGTGTGCATTATATACTTATTTTCTCTTGAGGTTTTACTTACTACAGACACATCAAAGATTGTTGAATTGAGTAGAGGAATGGAAGCTGCAGAAGGTATTTTATAAAGACTTTTGGAGGCAACACTGACAGTTACCATAACTTTGGGCTTTAGGGAGATAATCAAGGCATGCACTGGTATAGATACTGTGCATGTTACAGAAGGAGCTGGAGAAGTGTTTATAGGGATTTGAGAAGCAACTTGAGGTGAAGATACAGGCATTGGCACAGCAGCGTAAATGCTGCCTTTTTTAATGGAGATGTCTGCTTGGGAACAGTTATTGAAATTTGCACTGAAGATAAAAATGGCTTTGGAGAAAAACTAGCTGCAGAACTTGCATTTAATATCAGAGAAGTTTTAGACAAGGGCTTTGCTGTTTTGAAATATGAAACTGTGATCAGTTGAGGAAAACTTGTCTCAGAGCTAGCAAATCTAGTAGTCATAGCAATTTGAGGATGGGAGATGGCCTAACTGCAGGCTGCTTAGGCTTAGAAATGGAGTTATGAAGTTGTGAAGGAATATAAACATCCACAATGAGTAAGCAGAAAAGGAGGAAGAAAAACTGTAAGTAACAGGTGTTGTGAGATATGCCAGTGCGTGAAAGGATGACGTCCACCTATCAAAGGATAAGCCTGGACTCGTGGACAGGACCCCATAAACAATTACAGATAACCTATGTACACGTGGAGAGAGAAAAAGAATATAAAACTAAGCCTGTTGTAAATAAAATTGTCATTGACTGCCAATCAAGGGAATGTGCGTCTTTACGTCTGCTGCATTTGTGGAGCAGTTGAAGTCAGTGCAGAAAACCATGCTGGGTAAACTGCAGTTCGATCAATGCCAACCTCGTTCTAACAGACAAAGCAGATACAGGAGAAGTAGATGTGCTTAATGTAAACCATGGACCTAGAAGAAATACAGGTCTCATGAAAGTTGCTCTGCCAGCCAGCAAAGCAGACAAAGACACTTCAGAGGATATTTCTGCTCCCTTAAAATTACTTACTGATGGACTCTTACTCTTCCCAATACCTGCAGTCAACTCAGAAGTGACAAAAGATGGGTTGAAGGTCAAAGTTGTTAATGCTGAGGTAGGGGAAACTGTTCCTGAGTGGCTGGTGTTTCAAGTGAAAATGGAACTACCGCTAGGGAGGTGGGTGTTAATAACGCAGAATGTGTTGGAATAGGACTTGCACTGAGCAGGGCTGTCGAAGATGTTGTTGTAATAGGTAAAATTAAAGATGTATTAGAACTGACAGTATGTGATGTGACTGCTGATGCTTGAAGAAGAGTTGGAAAATATGTTGAAGAGATGAGTTTGGAAAGGACAGTAGGGTTGGCTGTGCCGTGAAGTACATTAGAAGCGTTCACTGTACTTGGTAATGAAAATGTTGAATAGGTGGCTGCATTAGATGCTTCTAGTGAGTAAAAGTCTGTAATGGACTGTGCTGACATATTCATTCCCCTTAAAGTTGTGTTTGCCTCCATGGTTATTTTGTCTGTCACATCAATATGAGTTGGTTCATTCCCCAAAGTAACAAATAAAGGAGATTTCTGAGGAAATCTCTCCAAGGTAGCATCCGCATGAGAGATTAACAATGAAGGTTTCGTTCCAATTTCTGATGCTGTAGGTGTCACAGGTATGCCTAAAAGGAAAAGTGCACATTTCACTGTCTTTTATGAATTATTAGTAAAGCAAAAGAGTAACATCTATCTCTACTAAAGTCCCATTTAAATATTAGCAAATCAGGGCTTGCCAATGGTTGCAGGTTGCCTGATGATTTTGAGGACTCAGCTGACTCAATTTTCAAATTTTCTTTGCAAATGAAGTAATTAATTTTTTATTATTAGTGAAAATCTTGATTTTGCAGAGCAATTTTGAAGCAACAAGGAAATACCATAGAAAATTCAGTAAATCCAAAATAGTAAAATACTTGGAATAAAGATAAACTTTGTGCTAGCAAATATCAAGCACAATATATTTAATTCAAAATTTGTAAAATAAAACAAGACAGAGTATTAAAATTTAATTTTAATATTAAAAGAATACTGTATTCTCCAAGATAAGTAAGCAATGTGGTATCTTTACACACCAGAACTTATGAAATAGATGTTTTCAATTTGTTACTGGTGTCCCGCCATCTGAAAAGAATGAACTTTTTGCCACAACAGTATTTCTTTCATTTGGGATCTTCTCTTATATGTGTATAATATACAAGCATTATATACTCAAATATAGTTGTCATGAGTATAACATCATGACTAAAGGTTATATTTAACCCACAGAGAAATTAAATAATGCAATTTTAAATATGGCTTGTTTGAATGTAGAAGCTGTATTTTGAGAACGGACTGGGAATGGAGTCTATGTCTCAGAGAGACAATCTTCAACAGAAAGGTGTTCTGATAAAGCACTTAGTTTTTAAAAAATGGACATTTGATTAAACCTTTCCTGGGATCTCTAGAGTAAAATATAAGTTTAGACCAGTATAATAAAATATACTTACAGTCTTCTGGATAAACACATCTATGTGTGACTTCATCAAGGATCATGTTTTTGGGACAGTATGGCATGCATCCTTCAACCCTGTAAAATATTTTATAGTCAATTCTGAAGCCACGAGGGAAAGCATAAATTAATTTTAAATTATTTTGGAAAAAAAAAAATAATGTCTCTCCTATCAGAGCTCTGAGAACTGTCTAATGTAATGGCAAACACAGAATTTTGAGGCATTTTAAGGTCAAAAAGTTATTGAACAGCACAGTTCTGTTTCTAAATTGCTAATAGTCAATTCTTTTGCATAGGCGGATGAACACGATAGCTTTGGACCATTCTGCTTCCACAACCAGGTGGAAGTTTAGATCCCTAAGCAGAAAGGTTTTCCAAAGAATAATGAATGTTCATTTGAAACATAAAAATGTTTAAACCAACTCTATAGAAAGTCTTTTGTTGTGTACTTTCAGCATAAGAGAGTGCAGACAAGTCCATATAATCCCATACTTTTTTTTTGGGGGGGCGACTTTTTAATAAGAAAATCATGGCATTAACAACCAATGTGCCCATAAGGAAAACAATAGAATACAAACACAGAAAATTAGCGATATTTGCAATATTCCAAAGCATAAACTGCCTATGCCTAGGGAGGTAGTCTGATATTCAAAATATCCTTTCTTTTCCAACACATTGTGCCTTCAGTTTTTAGGCATTTTTTCTTTTTTACAAGTTCCCTCCTCTTACAGGAGAGGGCGCATTACTCCCTTACTTTGCCTCCAGTTTTCGGTCTCTGTCATATAAACACTGGAAAGATGTAGTCATTTTATCATCATGGGATGCTGGTTTAGGATGTGAATATAAATCCATTGAAGGAAATAGCCTTCATTTAATTTTTATAGCTTTCTACTTAACCACTACCAGAAGCTAATCCTCTGGGCTAAATACAAACCTTCTTGTGTTGAAATACTGCATACAAACAGGAATATATACTGTGGGAAACAAGAGGCTTATTACAAATATTTTTATATGACTTGTGAGAGTCATATAAAGTCACACTTTCACAAGAGTGAAACTGAAAATGAGTAAAAATGAATGGATATTGCAAGTGCAGTAATATTCAGGAAGCATATTACAAAAACAATACAGTAGCAATGTGAGCTTAATTTTACTTACGGAGGAAGGAATTTACATGCTATTCCTTCAGGATCGCTACATGTCTTAAAACAAGGATTAGCACAAGATTCATATCGCCATTCACAGATCCTTCTATAAGGCACAGAAGCACTAAGTTCTGAGAAAGAAAAGAAGGATATTATTTATTGACTGTATAATAAATCAACCATAAATTTACAGCCTTTTTCTATACATTGGGATTTTCAGATAAATGAAAACATGGAAACCAAATAGACAAATTCTTCAGAACTTTCAAATAGGTGAGATTTTGTTCAATTTCAAGTATTTTAAATTCATTCAAGCTAGAAGACACTTCAAGCTTCAACAATAAAAACAGCTATTCACTTATACAACATATTCTGTTTAAAAACCTAAAAAATCAGTTGAAGATAATGAAGATACTGTTGGTTGCAGAAGCAATACAATTAGCCAATTCATTTAAAAGAATAAATATCTTAACCTCAATAATGAAATATTAACATGCATCATTTTGTGACATGTAAATTTTGTTTTGAAAGTGTAAACAAATGAAAATGTAGTTCAAAGATAAAGTGACCAGCATCTGGAAAAATTACAAAATAATAGCATTTTGAGATGGAATGGAAGACAAAGAAAGAAAGTGCTTAAAAATAGGTTAACAAAATTTGTTACTATTGCTGATGAAAGACAAATGCTCTGAAGGCAAGCAGAAAAAGAGTACTTATCCCTGGGGATCATGTAAAATTTACCTTCAATGCTAAAACTACTGAAATGTTTAAATTCTTCTGAATCATTGTACTTTGCCACTTTAACACTGGATGAGGTGAGAATGATGAAAAAGCCTTTTTTACTGTGCAGTTCAAAGGCACTGAGCCCTGGACTCCAGAGACCATGGTGGTGGAAGAAGGTGGCTCGTCTCTGAAAGGAGGCACTCGCCTGCCACTGCTCCAACCCAATGGTTTCATTGTCATGTACGTACAGAAAGTAGTTTGGTCTTTCAGCAGATTCCAGGGAAACAAGAGAGAGAGCTTCCAGAGAAGAATAAAATATAATAATTATAGTAAGATTTTCATAGAAGACAACTTACAATTGAGATTAAATTCTATATATTGGCTTTTAAGTGGCTCCTTTTAAACACCTGCTTTTCACAAAAAAATATGTAAGTTGGAGAATTGACAAGACTGAATTAATTCTTTTGTTCTATATATTTTTCATTTCAAAATAACATCTAAAAACCTTATTTCCCCATTGAAAAAAAATCAGATTTTTTAAGCTTATTTCACTTTCCTGTGAAGACAGACCTTCTCTAATTTGAGGGTCTGGGATTTTTTTTAACAAATTAAATTATGTGATAAAGCAATAACAAAATCTGTATTGACTTAACTGACACAAATGGCATATATGTGAAGAAAGGAAAATATATACAGAAGAAAAAACATTTAAACTTTTTTTTTTTTTGGTTGTATAGTCTATGTAAGTCTTTGATAAGTGAAAAATAAAGCTTAGGAATAGCTGTTCACCTAAGAAACTATCTTCTACACTCTATGGAGATGCTGCTTACTAACAATGCAGAAAACAGACTGATCATTCTAAGTTGCACATTTTCCTGTCCAGTGAAAATAACAAGTAAGAAGAAAAGATAAAGTAGAATTGATTTTACTGGAGACAAAAATATCCTGCATGGACCTTCAGTGTTGATAATTGTTAGATACATGTGCAAAATTTTCCAGTTTTTCAGTTATACAAACTAAATTTTTTTCATAAAGGTATTTTATTCACTTGTGGTTTTTTAATATTACTAGAACAATCTTTGAGAAGTCAGATTTAAATCTGGCAGTGAGATTTTCTACTATAAAAAAAAAATTAAAAATTAAATTCCTCCTCCGTTTTGAAGTTGGCCTCTTCATCCTCACTTATTCCAGTAACTAAAAATATCTAGACTATTTTGAGATATTTAGAAGATGCTGCAAAAAATCACTCATATAGTTTGATATATATATATATTGCCATTAGCAAAACTGCTGAGAACACTTACAAAGATCTTTATCTTTGAAAAGACCTGGAGTTATCATGAAACTGAAAATTACATTTCCGTATGCTCCAGTTCTAGGCAGAGGAAATATCCTTCTACTGGATACATTAGCCCCTATAATTGTGTCATTTGCTCCAAAACTTGCCAAAATATAGGGTCCTTCACCAAGACCTAAGGGAAGAAAAATCAAATAGAATAAGAAAAATCCTCGTTGCATAACATACAAAACTTAAGTCTTAATTTTCTACTTTGTTTTCACTTGATAGTGGAAACATGCATAATGCTGTCCTTAACTTTAAGCCTGGTAGGTAGCTAAGCACCACACAGCTGCTCACTGACTCCACATCCCTAAAGAGAATCAGGGGGAAAGAACTGAAAAAAACTCATGGGTGAAGATAAAGACAGTTTAATTTGGTTTGGGTTTTGCTTTTAATGAAGGAAAGAAAAAGAAACAAAGGAAAACAGTTGCAAGAAAAGTAATGCATAAAAACCTAATTCCTCACCACCAGCCAATCAATGCCTAGCTGGGCCCCAAGCAAACCAAGACCCCATGTATTGTGTCTGGCTGAGCTGGAGTTCATTTCCCCACAGGAGCCCTCACAGTGCTGTGCTTTGCATTGGTAGCTAGAAGGGTGCTGATAACACACCGGTGTTTTGGGTACTGCTGAGCCCAGAACCAGCACTGTAACATTCCTTCCTCAATCAAGGCCAAGATCCTGGGAGGGGACTCATGTAGGCCCAAACTGACCAAAGGGATATTCCATACTATATGATGTCAGCTCAGATATAAAATCTAAGGCCAGGAGCAGGAAGGGGGGAATTCATTGTCTCCAATGGCTGCCTGCTGAGGAACCATCACATGTGCCGAAGCCCTGCTTCTTGGGAGGGGCCGACCATTGCTGCTCATGGGAAGTAGAGAATGAACCCTGCTATCATTCGCTTTGCTTTGCGTTTGTGTGCAAAAGCTCCGCTTTTGCTTTCGCTTTAAATAAGCTGCCTGGAGCCCCTGGTGGTCTAGCGGTAAAGGCGCCGCGCTATCACCATGGAGACCCGGGTTCGATTCCCGGTCAGGGCCACTCCCAGGCAGGTGGGGCTCGTTAGCCCTTAAAGGCAACCCACCTACGTCCTAAGGACCTCGCTGCCACCGTCCAAGCTCGCTTGGCCCCGGCAGATGAACCTTAGGATTAAAGGGTGGGCTCAGTTCCGCGCACACTGTGTCTCACCTAAAAAATCCAATGCGCAGGCTGGAAGGTGGAAAGACCTTCCCCGGATCTTCGCTCGCGAAGACTGGCCATTAAATAAGCTGCCTTGTCCCAACTCACGAGTTGTTTTTCCACGTTACTCTCTCCCCTGTCCAGCTCCGAAGGGGAGTGATAGAGCAACTGGGTGGGCACCTGGCGTGCAGCCAAGGTCAACCCACCACACCCAGAAAACCTCCCTCCCAGCTTTTACTGCTGAGCACAACATCATATGTTCTGCAGCACCTCTTTCATCAGTTGGGGTCAGCTGTCCCAACTGTGTCACCTCCAACTTCTTGTGTACCCCCAGCCTGCAGACTGGTGGATCAGCATGAGAAGCAGGAAAAGCCTTCATGCTGTGTAAGCAGTAACTAAAACACCATTTTCATCACAAATACAAAATATATCATCATTTTAACTATACGAAGAAAGTTAGCTCTGTCCAAGCCAAAACCAGTACTCCTTTCTACTTCTTCACAGAATTGTAGAATCATTAAAGATTCTGGAAAAGACCTTTATGATCATCAAGTCCAACTGTCAACCTACCCCTACCACAATGTTCACTGTTAAACCATGTCCTCAAACATTTTTGAGTAAGGTAAAATTACCTACTACAAAGTAATTATGGAAATTCAGTTATACCTAGCAAGATCTACGTTCTGCTACTCTACTGGACCAAACAGGAGGAGAAAAGAATCATCTCTATATGACACTCATTGTAGGATGTAAGTCACAAAAAAAAGGTATATTAAAAGGCATATTCATATCATTGCATTTAGTCAAGTTTCCCTTTTCTTTCAACATCTTGCACCCTACAAAACATGTGCACAGTGTCCAAATATTAGAGGGGATGACAGGGGAGTTCATTTTATTAAATCAATACCACTCTCATTCTAAAGTACTGTTCTTTTTACAGTACAGTACTTGTAAGACTCAAGTATAAATCCCATAACATTTCAATTTCAAAGTATTGTAGGTCCCAGTTCTGAAATGTACAGTACAAGCACAAGCTAACATTATTCTAGAGCTTTTCCCTGACTTCAGCAATATGCTATATGGTGGATTTATCCGCCCACACATTGACCATTATGAGGTTCTAATTGAGGTATTAGGGATTACTAAAATCATTCAACACAGTTGGGCCACTGACCTTTACTCATTAAAAATAGAAGCAATGTTAAAACTACACACATCAAGTCCAAGAGAAAGCCCATAAATTAATTAAACTGAGTTTTTAAAACAGGAATATCAAATACTACATACCTTGATTGTAATATTCACAGTCATAAGCTAAAAGAAAAAGAAAACAAGTACATTATTATTACAAAGTAGCAAGAGAAGTCATGCATATTTGCATCCTGAAATGTGTAAAGTTCATTTTCAACAGCAGAAGTTTCATCTTCCACAAGATATTTCAGCCAGGGATTTTATTCCTTAGGCTTTTGTTCAATGACATATAGCTGTATTTAAGTAGATGTGCCGGGACAGTAGACCTGAAGCATGAAATATCCTACAGCCAAGAACCCTTCTTGGTGTCAATGAAAAGAAGAATGGACTGGATCTCTTTACAGCCCTACACGGAGCACTGGATGTACCCCAGATCTGCCACACAGGTGCCTTTCCAACAGTCTCTGCACTAGCACACCCTGAGCACAGTCACCCCTCTTCAGTAAGACAGCAGATTTGAGTGTATAAGGCTAGCACAGCCAACACACAGATAGCTTGAAAATTGTGAAGTACGTTTATTATCCACCTACTTCTGTCGTATTTGTATAACTGTGCAGCAAAAAGGCCAAAGGTGCATGCCCAGCCGAGATACATACCACAGAGCAAAGGAGATCGCCAGTGAATCGCTGCTCCCTGCTGGCAGCACTTGTGGGCATAAGCTGCAATACTGGTACACAAACACTCGCAGTCCCCACCAAGATTGCAGTTGCATGTATCTGTGTGACAATTTTTGATAAAAGAAGTCACATCAATCTGTAGGGGGAAAAAAAAAGGAAGAAAAAAAGAGGTTACTTAAATGCATGAGCTGTTCAAATTTGTGTTGCAGCATTTTCAGCAGGAGTTACACTTCTGGATTGATTGAAAGAATTAAAAAAAAAACTAAGGTATTTTCCAAAGTTTGGGCATATCCCTACACAAAAAGTACAGTTACATGTCAAAAGAAAATTTCAATCAGTGACTACCAACAAACATGCCTGTCCACACACTTGCTGTTCATCAATTTTGGGCAGTATATTGAAGCTGGAAGTTCTGCTTTTTTTTTATAAGGCAAATACTGCCATCTATAGTTGTTCTGTCAGTTTTGCATGAAAAACAGCAAAGTCACAGCTACGGCTATGATTACCAAGTAATTAAAGTAATCATTTGTAGAGGAGGTTTTGCCAAGGGAAAGAAAGCTTAAGCACACTGGTGACATTTTTCAGAAAAAATACTTCTGCACTTATCAAGATTTAAATATAATTTGCACCCAAAACTTCATTAGATCAGAAATCCATATCCTCATTCTAAAACACTGTCACACTATTTTTTCATGGTTTTACATGACACACTATTTCTTGAGTTTAAATCATCCTTTTTGTAATGTTGAGCAACGTTTCCAAAACAGTGTTCTTACTCAACACATGGAATGTTTAAAGCAATGCTTTTCTTCAGTTTAGTCTCTGGTCTAGCTCAGCTGTAAAGCACTCAAATGGCACACGTCAGATTACAGAAATACTACCACAGCAACAAAGCAGCACTTATCTAACACAGAGGCAGCTTCTCAGCTGGCAGCTGCTAGAAGCTGTCAGGGACAGGATCAAGATTGACTTTCTGCCTTAAGTGGAGAGTGATGCCATTTTGCTTTCATTCTTTTTCTTATCTTGAAAACAGGGATGCCACTGAGGACATGGGGAACACATATGAGCATTAGCTCCACTGAAAACAACTGTAGTAGCTTTGCAGGAATCACTAAACAGCAGATTGGCTCCAAAGACCTCAACCTATTCTTGTGCCTGTAGGACAGCACCTCTCCATGGGTCAGCAATATCCTGCTGTTGTGACAAACTGGGAGCCATACATCAGTTCCCACTGAGCTCAGGAATTATGAGGAAGACCTTTTCTTCTGCAAATGTTGAGGCTCCTTAGACCCTGCTGAATTCAGTGCTTATCTGGGCAACTGCAATCCATCAGTTGCTGCCAGCCAGAAATGCAAGATTTTTGCCTCTCTGAAAACTGGGGTTTCCAGCCTGAGTTGAACTCTGAAGCCACATGTCCCACAGGCAGGAGCTTGCCTCCATGCACAGCAGGATCCTAATTCAACACCCGCATAGCAGGAGCAACAGTAATAGTGCTGCTCCAAGCATGTCTGAAACCCACATCTATGTTTTCTGTCCTTTCCCTGCCCCCAACGTCAGTCTCTGCTTGGCCTTTTTCCTTGGCACTCAGTTCCTCACCAATGCAGCTAGCAGTCTGCTGCAGATGCCCTTGATAGGAGGTCATTGTACATTACATTTGAAAGAGCTGTATTTTCACATGCTAATAAATAGGATTTAAAAACACATGAAAGATGTTTACTTTACAGCTTGTCCGATACAAGATAGTCAATTATGTACGTATGAACATATTTGACTATCAATAAAATTACATGTGCACCTGACATTTTCTTAACATAATTATGCTAAATTATTGACACAATGTTTTCAAATTTTAATCGCAACACAGATAATACATAGAAAATGAATGTTCAAGAGAAAACATCTTTATGAGTTATGATAATACAGCTTCTTAAAAACTCTCAAAAGTTCCATTTTTATTTATTACTCGTCACTTTTAAAATACACTCATCACTATGTTCTCAGGCACATGCTCAAAAAATTCTTTACATAGTAACTTAAGTCAACATTAATAAATCTCTTGGGTTAAGCTACTGCAACCTCCTACACAGGCAAATTCCTAACCATGTTGATATCAAACTTTAGTCCTGAAAGTCAGGAGGTTCAGCTGCAACATCTAATATTAAGTATTTAGTATTAATAGTCATAAAGAAAATATGAGACTGAGACAAAATGTCATAGTGATTCGTGTTTGCCCAGGTGTAAAGAAGTACCTAAATACCTTTGGGAAGCTAAAATCAGAAATAGGGAAAGTATAAAGCATGTCTTGCATTGATAAAGGATGGATTAAAATGGAATAAAAGATTACCACAAAAGCTGTTGTCCCCATCTTGCCTAGACTGACCTAAGGACATTCTTGTAACTCAAGTTCCAGGCTCAACCAGGTGTTGGGAAAACAAGGACACCAAGCCTCAGAGTTTTGATAAAAAGCAGATGATAAGCTGTCCACTAATTAAAAATATCAATAGCTCTGAAGCTGAAATCTTGCTTTCTCATACTTATTTCTATATTGAACAGGACAATTAACAAAATAAAACCACTTGAGATAAGTTGTAGGTACATTGCACATGTTTAATTTTACGTACTTAATTTTAGAATCCTTCAACATATAAAAAAACCTTAAAAATTTAGCTACCTATATAAATAAAGGTTATGAATAAAACCTAAAGAGAACACAACTTTGATCATTCAGTCTAATAACTCACAACTTCCAGCTATCACCATTATGTTTAGGCTCCAGTCTTGAAAGGAATGAGGAGCTCTGCACAAACATAGCCCACCCACAAAGAGATACTTGCAGGGCTTTATTCTGTATCCTCCCCGACATTCAGACGGAGGTGAAAGGCAAGAAGAAATCAATTACCATAATTTTATTATTTTCATGACAGGACACCTTGGATATTTAATAAACTTACCACATTGCGACAAGGTGCAAAAACATCACTGTATAAAACTGAGCATTCCTTTTTGGCATAAGGGAACTTGCTCTGATGTACATCACATGGTCTTAGTGTTCCATTTGGGCTCTTGCACTTGAAAATAAACAAAAGCACCACAAATATTTTATGATTAGGTGTGTTTATGATAGATTCAGGTACACCATAGTATCATATAATTCAATACATACATAATCAGAAAACTAAGTTTAAATACTATCTTCTTCATCGTCCTCTTTCCCTGATTTGTTGTTATAATTGAAAGCGTTTGCACAAAAAAAGAATCTTTGTGTTTTGTTTTGAAGTACTAAAATGTTCCTGCTGTCTGCTCAGTGCATAAAGACAAAATGTTTTCTTTGTGACACATTATAATCATTACCAGAGCAACCAACTGTAACATCACAAACAAATACACGGTCCAAATCCATTCTGGGTGGTTTTGCACTGACTTTAAATGGAGTCACACTACGGATGGCTTTAGCCCTGTAAGTTCAAATAAAGAAGCAGCAGTAGGAAGGCAGCAAGCCATAAAAAAAAAAATAGAGTCAAAGATCATCATGATAACTCAAAAATGGCTGAGATACAACTCCCTCACTTAAAGTCTCTCTTCAAAAAGAAAAACAAATGAACAGAGAAATGTAACAAAACAACACTCAGCTCAGAGAACATGAGTTCATCATGCTCTCTTGCTGCAGCAGAGAAGCCCAGGAGGGTGTAATGATGAATCCATAGGCATCATTGGGGTGTCCTGAAGCAGCCTTAGCTGCAGTGCAATCGTCCACCTACACAGCCCTTCTGAGCAATTGCTCAGACACCGCTGTGGGGGGATGTGCTGCCACTCCCAGGAGGGAGTAGCCCTGAAAGCATCCCATGTTTCACAGCGCTAATGCAAGCAGAGCTGTATTCTAGGCCTCCAGCTATCGAATATTCCTTTATAGTACAGGATACATCACTACAAAGGCCAAAGGTCCTTTTTGCAAAAATCTCTGAGACCTACTGCAGGGCCAGATGAAGTGTTTGAGCACAGGCTACCAGCAAGGCCAAGGTTGAACTTAGATTCTGAGTGCTCTGGCAGGCACTGAGATCAGAAAATTACACAAGATTTAACAAATATATATATATATATATGTTTGTTAAATCTTGTGTAATCATATATATATATATGGCCACAAAAAAGCAGGTGCAAGTTTGAGCTGCGTAAGCAAAGGTCGTAATATCTTAGAAGTTAATGTGCTATGCAAACACTACACACTTTTCTAAAGCAGCCACTGAACTGATAAAATGGAAAAGAAAAATTCACACACTTCATACACATATGTTTATCTATGACCTTCTGGATGAGCAATATAGCTACCAACACTACACATTTGCCTTGCTTGCTCACACAATTTTAACATTTTATGTAGAATAAAATACATTCAAAGGGAGATACTGAGGCATAAAAGCCTCAAAATCATTATTCCAAAGCATTCTTTCATGAGGCAAGAGATATTTGTTCAATTTCCTGCTGTGTCAAGGACACAACAAATTAAAAACTGTTTCTGACAGACATCTAAAGGGAGTGCTTTATAAATACTGATTTTTCAGGAGGTTCACAAGGTTATAAAACTTTACATCGTCTCAGCACAAATGAATAAAATACCTATTCTCCTGTGTTATAAAACCCAATTGCACCATCCACTCTCTACAGACCACTTTCTTCCCCTCATAAACCAAGTTTCCATACTGGGTTGTGTCTGAGCCTTTTCCTTCCATCCATTCACCACCTCTGGTTTGCCAGTTTATTTTCTGTTTACAAACTGCTACTAAATAGATCATTTTTTTTCAGTGTTCAGAAAGAAACTTTTTTCCAGACCTTTTTTCCCAGCATTCAGATTCAATTTACTTTCAGTATCCTGATGCCTCTAACACCAGAGAAAGTATGTTTGTTTCTAAAATTGGGGTGAATAAAAAATAACAGAAGCAATGTATCTAACTTTGCAGAAAACTGAAATCCAGACAACTATAATAATTGTCTTACATAGTGGAAAACATATTCTTGCCTGAAGACATTTTTTTGTTTCATTTAAATTCAGTATGTGTTTGCTATGACATAAGACATTAACACATTTCACATCTACATACATAAAAATTAAAATGTCCTCTTATGCAGTGACCATAACTTAAGAAAATATCTGTGCATCACTTGCTTATACTGTGCTCATTTATAAATTAAAATTATCATTTTTTTCTCTAATTTTTTACCGGACATGAGACTTACCTGTCCTAATACCCAGCTGTCTCCAAACACCTGTGCATTTCTCACTTCCATGTTGTTTGATGTAGTCAGATCATTTGAAGTATATTTGTCAAAATTTCCACACAAACCTGCCAGTTTACCCTGGAAGAGATGAAGATTTTTTTTTCTTCACATAAACTGACAGTTAATAATCGGTACAAATTACACACTTGGAATGTAGTGTTTTTTACTGAAAAAGCTGAATGCAACTCTGACTTATACTTTGAAAATATCTGACACTCTGTTATGCCTACAGTTCCATATTGCAAGTATCTTATTAATAGAAATCAGTGGATTTCTTCTTGTTTTCCAGAACCTGTTCTTACTGTCTGCCTGTGAAAATGGGCTGGAATATAGTAATATTTTTTCTGACTGCTTATTAGTGCAGCCAGTGCAAAAGTCAAAAGTTCAGGTGAATTACCTCATGATTGTGAAGCCTGACTAGTTGTTGTCATTAAAACTTGCTGCTTCTAATTTTAGCTCACAATAGCAAGAATATTTGTAATAACAGTTATAAAAGAGACAGCTGCAGCTTTCTGGTGTTGGGCAAGTGCTGCTGATGGAAGAAGTATATATGCATGCATGCATATATAAATATAGGAAAATAGAAATTTCTGCACAACAGCAAAAAGTAGAGTTGGATTTTTAAAGCACTGTGGCTCATGCAATAAATTCCTTTTTCTTAAGGTCTGCTGCAAACATTATCTGACTGAACTGCAGCTTCTGGAAGAAACAGTCACTGGAAACAGAAAGAGCTAGAAATATTTGTGTTCCTGCATGCAACCCGTAGAACTCAGCTCCCTGCTAACTTACTCAAAAACAGAAGATTTTTTTTCTTTTCACTCTGTGTATTTATTGATGATAAACAAGCTCGTAGGTGAAGTATTTTGTGGCTACTTTAACAAAAGCCTATAATAATTTTGCTTTAATACCACATTAGATGGTCATTATAGCTTTGACTTACACTTCAAAAAATCTGATACTGTATTCTAGCATGGTGTGCTTTCTTTTCTTTTGCTGAAAGACCCTCATCTTGATACACGTGTTCATGTTTGAAACAAAGCAGAAATGTAATTCTGAGATGCACAGATAAGGTTACTCTGCCACAACCCAAAGACTGAGTTACAGAGACACCAAGGTAGAGACACCAAGGTAGATGATGCTGTAGGAATGGAAAAGAGAAGAGCAACTAGCAAGAGAATGAGCTTTGTATTCTTCCCTGAATCATGGCTGAACCCTATCTCAATATACCCATTAGGTTTCAATGTCAGTTTTTGTCAAGATAGTTTCCTGTATCTTGTCTTCTTAAATTAAACCCAAGATGTGACTACATCTCTTCATCTCAGAAGCCTCTATTACATCTCAGGGTGCAGTTCCATCATCAATCTAATCCAATCTGTGCTATAAACCTGCTGCCTTCCACCTCACTAGATACAGGATTAAGAAAACCTGCAGAGAACTGGGTAACTCAAAACTACCTATTCCTTCCAGCCCCCAAAGTATCTTTGAGTCAGAGCTGAATCACTGCATATCTCCAAGGTTGCAATGTGTGGAGCAACAGAGTAAATGTGCATGTAGGAACCACTGTTTCTCTTCAGGAGTCATGTTTTCCATCTCTTCTTACTTGGGAAATGCTAGCAGCTGAACACCATGATAAAAAGCTATATCACTGGGAAAGTTAGTCTTGAAGCAAAGACAATCGGTTATTCAATAAGAGATCACGTTAGTGATATAGAGAAGATACACAGAATCTCATGTTTTTATTTTGGCTCACCTTCCATTGAGGTCCAACTTTAACATGCATCATAGTCTTCTTATCCCACAGAATTGTAATGTCCTGCTCTGGAAAGTGTATCACAGTATAATATCCAGCCTTCCAAAGTCGATATTTAGATTTGTTTTCCTGTCCCCCTAAGGTCTTCTGACAGAAATGAATATTTATTAAGATCTAATAAAGTAATTTTACCAAGGTATACAGTCAGTTATGTACAAAGTGTATATTGAAGAATACTTGATCTTTAGCATACAGCTGAATCAATAATATTACTAGAAATGTTGTTTAATACTTTGATATTTTGTCTTTTCAACTATTCAAGTTTGCTTTGATTTTGTACTTTGGTTTCCCTTTCAAAACCAAATGGAAAGAAACCCATAAACACCAATATGTTTCAACTCCCTGAGACTTTTGAGCAGTCTTCTTTGTAGGGCAGATAGAACTTGAAAAAAGCAATGAAGAAAAAGATGTGTCCTGGGACCTGCTCCTTTATTCGGGCCTAGGCACTTGTACTATATTAACTCAGACTGAGAGACGCTTTCCAAAAACATGCTGCTTTAGAGCTGTAAATTTGCAATGCTTATCTTAAAGGGCAACCCAAAAAGGAAAGAAATTAACTAACCTGCTTCTCAGAAGGTTCACTAAAATAAATCTCAGTGTCTCCAACAGTGATGAAAACATTCTTCGAGCAAACAATATCATTGTCAAAGCACTTTTTGTTTTGAGCTATTATAGATATATTTGAGTTATCTGTGCTCTGCAACATTAAGAAGAAATCATGTTACTTACAGATGCAATTGCATTTCATTCCTGCAGATTTATTCTAGGATTACCATTACAAAAAGATGGATAATTTAGTATTCCCACATTTTTTAAATAAATTTAAGAAAGTTACCAAACAAGGAAATGGATTTTTAAATTCAAAGCTGAACCCACAAACAACTCATACTTTGGAGTTAAATACAAGGAGCCATTATGTTCAGCTGTGACTCCTTTTCCTGAGGACTTCGCAAACTCAGAGGATCAGCCTACCTCTAAAATAAGAGTCTGGTTTAGGCTTTCAAAATGTGCTTATACATGGAATTGAATATTTATGGTTCAGTGTGGTTGTCAGGATTGAGACATGCTATAAAAAGAGCTTTATTTTTAAACCAAGGTACACGAGATCAAGCTGTTTTCATATTTTTAAAACCAAGAAACCTACCATCTGTCAGTAGTGGATAGAGCAGATTTTGTACCACCACCCATCAAAATTCACAAAACCATGAGTCATGTTCAATGTTCTTGGAGGGGGCAAAGGTTTGTGTTGATACTTTTGTTTGTGGGGTGTTGGTTTTTTCTACATTTAGAAGAGTTGAATACTTTGTCGTCTTTAGATTTACTGGTATTTTAGTATCTAAAATTCAAATCTACTGCCTTCCTAATCCAATACCTCTTGGCTCTCCAGCCTGTAAATTAATTTTGAATTCTAGGCACAAAAAAATCACTTTTGTACCTTGGCTTAAGATGTCTATTTATTCACCTACAGCTTCTGTGGTTCTGTGGTTCTTCTGTATCCTGCATCTTGGTGCAGGAAAACTGTATTTTCAGAGATGATAACACTACCACAAACAAAACCAAGGTTGAGCTACTCTTATTATTTCTTATTTTAATTTGCTTTCCAGTTCATTTCTGTACCAATCCTTGCAAATCAACAAGCAGCCGTAACTACAGAAACGAGTTAACTTCATAATATTATTATTAGTGCTTCTGAATCTGGTTTAATTTTTATTATTTTTCAGTCCTACAGTCATCACAAACCTGAGACAGATATGAAATAAAAATAAAAGATATGACAGATATGAAATAAAAAAGCTATTTATCTCACCCACCGAGTCATCTAGTCTTATATGGGACACTTGGGTAGTGCTGGGAATAAAGATGTTTAAACTCTTCTTACTCCCACGTTCCTTTAGACACTCTCTGAGACTATGATTTGCTGAAATTAATTGCTGGTGCTAATGGGCATGGTGGGCAAGATGGGAATTTCCCCAGTCCTGGGAACTCCTCTTGGCTCCCAGCATTCCTCTCGGAGAGCTCTCCCTGGCCACAATGGGAGGGATCTCTTGCCTTGGTTTGTGCCCACAGCATCTCTCCCCAGAGCTTTGATTCCCCCTGTGGTCAGTGTACTCCTGAAAGGTACTGACTATTTACTCCTAACTACTTCTTGCCTGTCTCACATTTGTACACTTCTTTTTTCTTTGTTCATTAGAACTCAAGAATTAGGGGGAAAAAAAAAAATCAGTAATTTTTCCCCACCGGTGAGGAGCACTGCATACAGAAAATGCAGATGCTACAGGAAGCAGTTTGTATGTTTTTTCTCAATAAAAGTCATAGTGACCAAACTCTCTGAAGAACACTAAAATAAAAACCAAACCCAACTCCAGGTGATAGATAGTGTAGAGGTATTTTTTTGCCACATAGAGGAGGTGCTACAGTTTTGCTGCCCTTAGCCTAGCATAGCCTACAAGCCAGAGGTTGCTGCTACTTGGCATAGAAAACACTCTACAGCAGGCATGAGCTAATGCAATGAACACAAGGTGTGGAAGACTGCCTGCAAGCTCTGTGTTACTCTAATGCCAGGGCTTAAGAAACAGATGGTATTTGTCAGCAGTTAGCTTGGAAAACAACAGTTACAGTGGGCAGAGTTAGTCACTAACTGCTAAGTGGTAAGGGGGTGTAGGAAAACAGCTCTCCATAATTTAGCAGGGGAATTCAGTTTAAAAGTATTGAAAGCTTCAAGGTAAAGAAAAGTTCATCTGCATTCTGTTGTAAAGTTGGTTTAGGTTGCACTCAGAATAAAATTGGTCACTACCTTATTGGGAAATACACTGTATTTTAATTAAGCCAGGCTTGCTGCTTGAGTCAGTACAATAATTATTCGCCTTCAAGTCAGGTAACAGCCCAGAGCATTTTTGGATTTATTGGAGGTGATGTGGTAAATTTAAAAGGAGACAATCTCATTAGTTTTCTAGACAGGATACGAGCGGATACATTCTGTATCTGGCCAAATAAAAAGTGAGCAAGGAAGCTACCTCTCCACCATGACTCAAGTACAGAGAAGGACTTGCAGTCTCCAGGTCTATTTGATGTCTAGGACATTGTGGGCTCTTTTCATTGCAGAATTAATTCCTCTTCAGTTAACCTAATCTCAGAAAAAGGGGACACTCTGAGTCAATAGGGAACAATGTCTTCACTGTAAGAAAAGACATGGAGGGCTTGATTTTAAATAAGGATAGTTAAATCAGGCTAATTATCCCACAGTAAAAACACACCTTTTTTGGCAATGAAGGCAAGTCAGTGGAGCAGGAGCGGGTAGCTGTATCAGCTATGCTAATTGAAGCTGCTGCCTGTGCCTGACAGTCCAGGCCAATCCCTTCAGCTGAACAGCATCAACATACTCAAGTCAGAAATTTTTGTGTATGGTTGGGATTTGAGCCAAGGGCAAAAGCTGGGTTATATTTCAAGTTAGCTCTGCAACAGAGAGAAGCCTGGAGCCCGGAAGTGTTTGCTGACCAAAGCCAGAACAAGGAGTCCTGAAGACATGTGAAGTGCTTCCTTACTTGTAGGACTGCATGATGGTATTAAATTACTAGAAATGATGCAGGATGGAAATGCAGAGATACAGTGGTGATGGTTCAGTATGAGTAATCCAGACATTTAAGAAAAAATGGCTCTGTATTAAATCCTAAGTAATCTGTGCTTTCTCTTTTTCTAATTAAACCTTATACCTAAATCCAGACAGAACAAACATCATTATGGATTACCTATCTCTCACGGCTCAAAGCTTTCACAAAAATATTTGCTCTACATACATACTCTTGCCATTCCTTCCATATAACTCAATTAAAATTGAGACTTTTCCCAGCCATACAGTACCAGCTAAATCCAGTGCTGAATGACTGTTTCTATCACAGTCTTCAAGTTATTCTATAACCGTTGCACATGCAGCCTCCTCTTTCAACAAATCAAAATTAAAGTGCAATTGAAATTGAGTACTTAACTACTGACAATTCAAAAGAAAGGACTATTAGATAAAGTGAGGATGATTTTTTAATGTTTATATATATTCATATGTATATAACAGTAAAGTCTTAGGCAAATTTCAAGAGTTCTTATGGAATGTAATACTGTAAATGAGAATGATCGAATTCCATCTCTCTAATCTGCACCAAATCCACACAGATATGAAAACAAGCTTTTGTCACTACCATTAGAAGAAATGTCTGAGCAGACACTAGGAGCAGGTCTAATGAATAACAAGGTGGGGTTTTTTGTTGGTTTTGTTTTTTTTTTCTGCACAGCCTTTGTCCAAGGCAGAGTCACTCTTTACCTTTTTAGGTAAAATGCACCCAACAGGGGATGTACTACAGTTCATCATGTGAAACCTACTTACGCTGACAGAAACTAGAAATAAAATGGTTTTCCCACTGCAAGAGTATCTTCCCACGTAAATTACCATATCCAGTCTGTTCCAACTTAATGTCAGTTTCTTTGTGATAACATGGAGTTGCCAAGCAACAGGAAAGACAGAATCACAGCTCTGGGCAGTCAGTCAAAAGCTCATTGTCAGCCCCACTTCTCGGGACATTCTTTTTCTAGACTTTGCTGCACTTTTTTTCCATATTTCTTCCTAGTCAAAAAAGCAAAGCACTGCTTTCCTTTTTCCTCTCTTTCTTTTTTTTTTCTTTTTTTTTAGCAGTGCTTGGGAATGCTAGAGTTTATTTTTGTTATAAACTTTCTATTTCAATATCCTGCTAGAAATTTTCTATCCCTTTTAACCAATAACAACACTGCACAGTGTGCTTACATAGTCAAAATGCAGCCTGGGAGAGGACAATTTAAAAGTGGTTGTATTTATTTCTTTGAAAGTTTCATTAAAATCTCTAACTGTTCAGTGTAAAGACTCATTCCTTTCCATTCTTAATACCCTGATTTACCCACTGTTTCTGGTTTGTTCCCTAGAATATACTAACTTGCAAACTAGGTTGGCCATAAAGGCACCTAAGGACATACTGGAAATAGATTAATCCTAACTTCCTTTTGTTTTAATGATGCTTTATATGTTTTCATATCTAGCCACACAAACAAGTGCAAAAAGCTCTACAAATACAGAAAAAAAAAAACCCAGTAGTTTAAAAAGTAGAATTTGCTTTCTCCTTTGTATGTATTTCAGAGGGATACCCTTAGCCCTGTTCAGACTCAATATTTCAGGAGATTTTATGGAAAGTCAGATTTAGTTTGGTTGTTTACTGGGCTGTGAGTTTCTTCTGAAGGAACTTAACAACTGAAACTATTACCTCTAGTAAGCTTGGTCCTAAGAGAAATAAAATATCTTAGCCCAGATTTAATGAGCACTTAGGCATAAATATTTAAGTGGGTTTGGAAAGTAGGAAAATGCCTTGGCACCTGACATGTACTTGCTGTTTGTTTCTTGTGCCATTATACTGGGGACTTGATCTCCAGATAATCAGTAAATCACATTAATTACACAAAACTTATTTTGACTTACACCAAGAAGCATCTCTTATTGAAAGACTTATTTTGTTTTGCTGCTGCACAAATTTCTCCTGTACCTTTTCAAAATTACATATATACATTCCATGTAATTTTATTTCATCCCTGCTTATGCATTCTGTACAAATTTGTATCATCAAATGTTCATCCCCATAGCTATTAAAACAATGGAGCAATATCACTTGGAGTCAACAGATGGCA